AAGACCTAAATCAATCCCCCAAAATGGAGAATCTGTCCCGTTAAGTTTGAGGATATTATATTTTTTAGGATGATATGGCTGGTGTAGGGAAAGGTTGTAACCATCAACATATTGGACAGACATCTTGTATTAAAGGTGGAAGAATTGATGCTAGTTGTTGTGTTGATTCTCATTTCCATAGAGCATGTCAACACCAGCCTGGTCTAACCAATGGTGTCTTGTGTTGTAAAATGCCAGGTATGTTATGGAGACTGTTCTCAAATTACACAAATTTCATTATGCTGATATGCATATTGCTCCAAATATTTTATGACTTATGCTTTCTTCTCAATGTTCCAGTATTAGGATTTCAATGTGTTAAATACATGTCAATTGGAATCATACATCAGGAGCAAAGAATATCTCAATGTAAAATATCATGCTTCATTTTTCATCTGAATGAGAGATGAACACATCTCAAAATATCTAGATTTAGTCAACTTATTTAGCATTGGTAAACAGGCTATTTCATTACATTTCAAGATAGTTCATTACATTTTTCATCTGAATGAGAGGTGAACACATCTCAAACTATCTAGTTTTAGTCAACTTATTTAGCATTGGTAAACAGGCTATTTCATTACATTTTTAAGATATTTCATTACATTTTTCATTTGAATGAGAGATGAACACATCTCAAACTATCTAGATTTAGTCAACTTATTTAGCCACTATATGACATTGGCAACTGTATCCATTTCTAGCATACAATCTTGTTTTTACCAAATCCATGTTATATTTTCAGTTAAACTACCTCGTATTGTGGTAAAACCACCAGAAAAGATGAGTGTATATACAGGATTAATATTTTTATTACCATGTCAAGCTAGTGGTATGCCACCACCTAGAGTTCAATGGTATAAAGATGGTACTCAATTGTCCGATACTAATAATAGAATCTCAGTCTTACCTTCAGGTAATTATTTCATTTGATTTAATTGTAACTGTAATTATTTGATTGTAACAATTATTATTTCAGGTGATTTAATTGTAAGATTGATCATTTCAGGTGATTTAATTGTAACAATTATTATTTCAGGTGATTTAATTGTAAGATTGGTCATTTCAGGTGATTTAATTGTAACAATTATTATTTCAGGTGATTTGATTGTAAGATTGGTCATTTCAGGTGATTTAATTGTAACATTGATTATTTCATGTGATTTAATTGTAAGATTGATCATTTCAGGTGATTTAATTGTAACAATTATTATTTCAGGTGATTTAATTGTAAGATTGGTCATTTCATGTGATTTAATTGTAAGATTGATTATTTCATGTGATTTAATTGTAACATTGATCATTTCAGGTGATTTAATTGTAACATTGATTATTTCAGGTGATTTAATTGTAACATTGATTATTTCAGGTGATTTAATTGTAACAAAAATTATTTCAGGTGATTTAATTGTAAGATTGATCATTTCAGGTGATTTAATTGTAACAATTATTATTTCAGGTGATTTAATTGTAAGATTGGTCATTTCATGTGATTTAATTGTAAGATTGATTATTTCATGTGATTTAATTGTAACATTGATCATTTCAGGTGATTTAATTGTAACATTGATTATTTCAGGTGATTTAATTGTAACATTGATTATTTCAGGTGATTTAATTGTAACAAAAATTATTTCAGGTGATTTAATTGTAAGATTGATCATTTCAAGTGATTTAATTGTAAGATTGATCATTTCAGGTGATTTAATTGTAAGATTGATTTAATTGTAAGGTTGATTATTTCAGGTGATTTAATTGTAACATTAACACGTAAATCTGATACTGGATTATATACTTGTGAAGTTATAAATGAAGAAGGTATTGATATGGTCAGTTCTTATGTTACTATATCAGGTAAGGTTATTGTTTTGCTTCTGATCAGTATGTAGTACTGGATATTAGAAATTCAACCTCCAATTCCACAGCAGATGTCCACAAAATGGATTTTATACCTGTAAAACATGGACAACATTTTTTCCATTGATCAACTCATAGCAATTTGCTTATTGCATTTGTAGTGTGTGATTTGTGCTTTTTTCAGAAAAATGAAAAAATCTTGATCTTTTTTATCTGTTTTTATTTCTGTTTACAGAATATGCATCAGGTTGTTCAGACGGGTCAACAGAAGGGTTGTATGTTCATAAAAATGTTCATGCCTGTGGTGGTTCCTGGAAAGGTCATGTTCGGAAAGGAAGAACATTATGTAAGAAAGGCTGGAGAGTATGTAATCCTAAAGATAAACATATTTTACAAGAGTTAACATGGTTAGACATATTTGATCTACCTGGTTGCTATGCCTACAATGCTGCTACATATAAAGGTGTTTGTAAAAAGTAAGTATACTCTTCACCAATAGAATGTAAGTAATTCAAAATAATGTTTGATTTACTTATTTCCTTCAATGAATTCTTTTTGGAATAGATAGGAAATATGCAGGTGCCAAAGCAACATTTCATACTGTTCTTTAACTTCAAGTGACTAAAGGGAGATTATCCAATATAAGAGCAGTAGTAGCAGACAGCAAGTTGAAAAACTCTAAAAGTATTTGTCATTCTTATCCAAAATGTTGGATGTTTGAAGTAGTGTTTTGTTGACTTTTCACTAACAAAAAATTATTTATAACAGAATTTGCATTCAAGAATGACCAGTTTTCAAATGAACACTTTGATATAAACCTTGAAAAACAGGATAGATTTTTAGTTACTACATTAATCGATACGACTTTCCGCAGAGTATAATTAAAAGTTTATTGAGAGATTAGATTTAACAGTAACAGTTTCTCTGGACCTGTTTCAGATGTCACAAGAGTCGTATGGCTGGTGTTGGTAGACAATGTGGTATGATCAGATATTCCCAGAAATCCTGTTTATCACATGGTAGAATTGATGTATTTAACCCTAAAAACTCCACAGCCTGTGAATATAGAGAAGGAGAGGTAGCAGGCGTGTTGTGCTGTAAGAAAAAGAAGAGAAATAGGAAGAAAAAATTGCGTACGTTTTTTAAAATTCTTTCTAGCTGAAGTGATTTTGCCCTTTTGATGCCAGCTTATTAATTTTAAGAAACCAATTTATATATTAGATCTCTTCGTTTTTTTCAAAATGGACGTGAAACTGTGAATGCAAATGCTTTCCATCTACATCAGTTATTTATTCTACATCTTTTATCAAGTTTTGAAGAAATCTTATCATCAAATAGAATGATGAATGATGTGATTGCCTAACTACATTTAACATTAAGTTGCCATACTAAGGCTGAATTTACTGTACAGATACATTTCTACTGTTTTCTGAATGTGTCAATTATTATATATTGAACTAAACACTCGCAAGCCAAGGTTAATCATCCCATGTATAAAGTTTAGAAACATATTGCCAAACTTTTACTTTACAGAGAGAAGACCATATTGTGAAGATGAATGTCAAAATGGTGGTGTTTGTGTTGGACATAATAGATGTCATTGTGCTATTGGTTATAAAGGTGCAACCTGTCAAAATGGTAAGTTATTTTCATGTCATTATGTTTGTCTGTACTGTAGATTTTAGAGAACAAAGTGTAATGTATTTAACATATAATTATTATGGATAGCATAGCTAAATAGTAGATAACAGAAGACTATGTTCTGTTGGTGCAAATTCTCCTGAAGATTTAGAAAAGAAGATTTGATGAAAGTGAAACATTTAAACATTGAGAGGGAACACTGACAGCACAGACAGAGAACAAATTCTGCCCTTGAAATTGAAGGTTGACTTTTGAACAGTTTATGTTTTTGAGATTTCATTTGTTCATATAGGCCTACTGTACGTGTTCTGTAATTTTCTGTACTGTTGACTTGTTTGTTGTAGCTATCTGTAAACCAGGGTGTGGAAGTAAAGGGAAATGTATTAAACCTAATAAATGTAAATGTCAAAATGGTTATAGTGGTAAGCATTGTGACAAGAAAACAAATCGTTGTAAGCGGCCATGTTTAAATGGTGGACGATGTTTGAAACGTAAATGTCATTGTCCTCAAACACACTGGGGTCATTCCTGCCAATACTGTAAGTATAAGATTACACTTACGACAGGACATCTTTGCTGAAAAAATCTTATGATAAATTTTTGTTGTTAGTCTGATATGAAACATTTAAATTTTTGCATCTGATATGCAACATTTAAATTTTTGCAAGAACAAATTTGTAGCAAATTATTTGGATTGTGAATTAAGATGATAGTTTTGGTACAGGTCTGATTTATAAGGTCTTTCTGAGTAGCAAGGTTGAAATTCTATCAAATTAAACTTGATAGTACTAGAAGTTATTATTAGCTTCATGAATGTGAATATATTAGCTTCACCATTAAAGATGGTCTTGTTAAGTTACGCCTTTTCTGAAAAAAATCTATGGCTTAAATCTGGTAAAGATCTTGCTTGATGCATTGCATTCATGCAACCAGATGGAGAACTATACATCTAGGTTGCTAATATTTTTGTAATTTGTTGTATGTTATTTTATTTTTTTCAGTACTACAGCATATTCTTTTGTCTAAAATGAACAGAACTGAAAGATGAAATCCAAACATAGAATCTATAATTAGTAACACTGCCAGATATAGCATTTACTAGACTGAATACTCTTGATGATTCTAATGTTGCAACTCCTAACAGAACACTAGACTTAAGAAAAATGTCTGATTGGCAAAAAATAAATACACCCCTATACTAGAGACATTGTGCATGTAAAAATGTTACTTCAAATATTGTTTTCAAACCTATGTTATTTCACATGAAAATTGTGTATGAGGTAAAACAGTATTCTTCGTAAACTACATCTAGATAGATGAAGAACCAGCCAAAAGATCTCAATAGATCATCAAGGCTACTAGGCAGGTAAAATGTCCAATTGATGTACATGCAAGTAGATCTTTTGCAAGTAAGAATGAGAATATTTGACAAATGTCCACCTTATCATCTCTTGATGTAGAAACAGGGCTAGTTGAAAATTAGAGGGTTTGTTTCTCAATTTCGGCAAAAATTGGGCAACATGGCCAAAACATTTGATATGTCACAAGGTCACAACAGTGGCAAAGCAGATTTTGCTGATTTTAAGAATGTTAAATCTATAATATCCATGATATAGCAATAACATAGACATATTGATATTGTTTTTATGTAAACTATGTGATTCTAATCTGAATTCCATTATTCTAAAAGCAATAACACATATAAATGGCATATTTGGTCACTGTCTTAAGCAGTGTTTAACTTTGTTGTTTTATGGAAGAAGTTTTTTGGTTTTGTTAATTTATCATTTCCAGAATATCTAAAGTAAAGTTCTTTTACCTTAGATTTTAAGATTCTATAATGAATTTTAATGTGAAGAATACTTCTGAAATTTTCCTTGATTCGATTTGAAATTCTCAAATATTAAATGATGGGACTTGATGGCTCTTAAAAAATTTCAAAAAGAAATTTAAGTAGATATTTTTCTTGAAAGAGACAAAAAAGGATTTAAAATCTTGTTCTGTTTTGTTGTAAAGTTGTAAATTTGTGTATAATTTTGTTTTATTGTATTATTTTGTGCTAGTTTTTGGATGTACATATCTACTCTAACAGAATACAATAGAGAAAGTAGTAGTTACTGTATAGTATTTGCTTAGTTTTGCCCACATAATTATGTATTTATTTAAATTTTATAAGATATTTTGTCAACTGGCATCTTATTTTGAAATGACATTGACCATATTCTGTTATTTACTGACTCAACATGTAATGTGAACTACTTAGATACACAACCTGACTTTTACAATTTAGGGGAAATGACATTTTCGGATCTTATAAACTTATACTCCATGAGATCTTGAGTTTTCATGTCAAAATTCCAGTGAGATCTTTTAATTTGTTTCGTTGAACTGAATAAGATCTTATGTTACACATTATAATTTACGCAATTTTAGATCTTGCATTCAAAATTACACTGAGATTTTATGTTCTTGTCAGAAGAAATTTTATTTTCTCATATCAAAATTTACACTAAGATTTTATGTTTTCACATCAAAATTTGCACTGAGATTTGACGTTCTCACATCAAAATTTACACTAAGATTTGATGTTCTCACATCAAAATTTGCACTGAGATTTTTTGTTCTCACATCAAAATTTACACTGAGATTTTATTTTTTCCATTAAAATTTAAACTTAGATTTTATTTTCCCCATCAAAATTTAAACTTAGATTTTATTTTCTCTCAACAAACTTCACACACCATGAGTTTAGGCATAGCTATTCAAATACATAATGATAACAGATAAACTAGATTATATTGTTATAAATATTAATTTTATTTAGTAACATCAATTATTCAATAAAAATTATAAAACAATTGTTTACTTTATACCTGCAAATTTATTGTTCAATATGTAGAAACTGCAGAACAGCAATTGATTAGTACCCAGATGCCATTTAACAACTCATGGTTACTACCAGGAAAAAATATATTTCAACAGTGAAATGAATCAAATCATGATAAAAAGATCGTCGCTTAAACTATATATTATTGGCACAAAAAGTAATAAATACAATTGTGTTACTTGAAAATATATATCTTCTATTAAATTTGAAGGGAACACACAACATTGAATGTCCATTGTTATTATATTCTACTTGCTCTTCTAGTACAGTTGGTAACTGTCTTTTAAAAACGCTTTTATCAAAACTTTTTCTGGTTTTGGTGTATCTCTTCATATTACACTTCCAGTACGAACTATTCCTACGTCTATCGGGGTAATCTATCCCAGGGAGAGGTGCCCATCTTGGGACATCAAGTGGTAATCGGTAAAACAGTTCGTCGCACCAACTGCCAACATCAACAAAAGAAGCTAACAATTCTTCATCATCTTCGTCATTGACCATATGTGAAGTAATATCTTCTGGTCCAGCTTCAGATTTGTCTCCATTCGAGGCTGTGATCTGGACATTGTCAATTCCTGGCAATACCATCCATTCTGGAATCCCTACAAGTGAGGTCTGAGCCCATAGATCCTCTGCCCAGATAAAGTTGGTATCACATTCAGTTTCGCCAAAAATTGGACCTGAAGTGAATTCAAAATTTACAAATGGATGTCAAATTTCTAGAAACCTAAAGATACATGTAATTCGTTTTTCAAAATAAAATTGATAGATTTTTCAAACCCTTTTTTTTTGCATCTTATACGTTTCCTGGTTTTATATAGTATATCTTTCAGTGCAAAACTTAAAAAGCCAAGGTGACTTTATACCTTCAATTTTGGCCCAGTCTGGGATCTCAACATCAGTACACTCTGACAACGGTTCATCTGCCCAAATTAAGACATCGTCAAACTCATCCTGGTCTGGTTATTATTTTCATCAAGAGGGGTCGAGTTGTTGTTCTTGTCGCAGTCAGAGCCTTAAATAAAACGACAAATACCTTAAATACAATTAAATACAACAGCGAAAATATACGCACAGATCTACAGATGCGGCGTCCGGTTGATGAAACAATAGACTTCCAGTATAAGTACATAAATCAATTTCTACATAGCAACAATCTATCCAATTCCAACACAATTACTTGGATAACAAAAACTCATTTCCATAGGTCTTCATCTGGTAATTCAAATAATAGGTTGTGCATAGACTACCATGTTAATATTATAATGGTTGATAGCAGTAGATTCTTCAGAGTTTGCGAATAAAATGTGAACTTTACATAGGTGCGTAGGCCTACGTCCGAAAAAAGCATACTAACTGTCATTGGAGGATGTTTGATCTTCATACTGGACTTTAACTAAATAATCCAACACAATTTCATCCACAGTCAAGTTCATAACTAGTAATCTGAAAACATATAAGGATAGTCTTATGAAACTAAAATACAAAATCCTGTATTACATTCCATGCTTTGAAAAAATGACTTTGAACACAATCTGGACGGTGGTACTTACGTTATCGTCATGATGTTATTTTCTTATTTCAATTCCACACCGAAATTTTCACAAATATTGCAGAGGAGAGTCAGAATGCTTCCGTCGCTTTCAGAAATCAAAAAGCTAATGACTTTAAGACCAATTTGGCGTTATTTTTTATTATGACGTCATAATAGATGTAACGTGAACAGGTAACAATAGAATTCCATCATAAACTGTCTCGAGTTGTCGCCTGATAAAACCTCCAGAAAATATCATTTTCCTTCATGTCAATTATCAACTATGCCCTGGTTTAAAAACATTGATCAACTTAATTGTGAGGGTCAAACTTAACATTTGAAATTTCATTTGATAGAAGTTTAGTCAATATATCAGACAGTTTTAAGGTGTCTTTTAACTAATCTTAAAGAAAAGCATAGATATCCACCCCCACCCCAAAAGTTAAACGAAAAATTGTGTCGAGAAACAAGTCCGTGATCATAATATTGATATTCATTAGTATGCAAAATTTCATCAAAATCTGATGAGAATATCATACTTTTCGTATTGACGTATTCTGCAAAATCACTTCACAAATGTCGGACCCAGTTTCATTAACATCTGACCAAAACACTGTTGTCTCTATATAGACTACTCTCTAAGCTTTTGACAGATCGTTTTTCCAAAAAATCGGGAGTCATATTAAAAGACCTTTAATTAAGGATTACACTTAATAGTAGAGTCCATTAACGGTCTGAAATCAGCAATTTCTGCCTCAAAACTGACAATAAATTTGTCCAACAGGACATCTTCACATCGTCGAGCTATTACGAACTGTGTTTAATACCTTGATAGTAAAAGCCATCTTGTATCATAGCAGTTTCTAAATGCAGCGATTTGATTGAATTGTACACTAGCGAATACAGCAAGTCGTAGCACAATCCAGTGCAATCCAGTGTACAATCCAATCAAATCGTTGCATTTTCAACTTCTGTTATACAAGAAAGGTACCAATCTCAGTCAAGGTATTAGACACAGTTCATAATAGCTCGACAATGTGGAGATGATAGGATACGCACATATTGCCTTGGACATGTTATAATTTTAATTCCATTGGTTTGGTCACATCGGTGGCTTTGAAGAATTGAAGCCGACTTAAATAGTTTACAATCTGAATGTATTTTACTTACGTTATCGTCATGATGTTTCTGCTATTTCAAATCCACTCTGAAATGAAATATAATAATGCTTCCGTCACTTTTAGAAATCAAAATGCTAATGTCTCGAAGACCATTTTGACGTTACATTCATTATGACGTCATAATTGATATATGTGAAGAAGTAAGAAAGGACTCTCATCATAAACGATTAAAAATAGAGTGTCTTAATCGGTGGAGTTCCTAGCTTTAGATGGAGATGGTTAGAGACAGATGACGAGTGATGAGTTTGGCGCAGAAGGGATTGAAAAGCTAAATGGTTACGTCCATCAAATGGTTTTCGTGGGCTCTAATCGATCGGTGTGTGAATTCTAGTGACCTTGATTAGCTTAAATTGTATTTCGTCATTATTCAAGTCGACCTAGGTGTAATAAATTAGGTGCAGATAATCCGGAAAAGATCAATGCCAAGACGTTTTGCCAAGGATTACCCAAGTTGTTATGCTTGATACAAGTGGTTGTTTCTGTTTGCTCTTCAAATTAAATACATTCCAATAGGGAAAAAGCCTGAACCCAAAAAGCGGTATCGTATCGGGTACAAGATAATTGGAAAGCCATAAGGATCAAATAAAGAATATAATTACTCAGTAATTTTTATATTGATTTATTTTTTTTCATATACTGTTTACAAGTACATGATAATATTTTCTTCTGTAACATTATTTACAAAGATTATCATAATAGAGAAAAATACAGACTGGTGAAACACTAGTAACCATGATTTCTAGTTGATGTCTATACTTAATACTTAGAAATCATTATAATACCATCATAATACAGGTGTAGATTATATATATTAGAACAATTGTGGTTTGAAAATAGGTTCCCTTCAGTTTTAATTTACTTTTTAATGAACATGAAATAATATATAGTACAATACCGTACCAAGAAATTATCATTTGAAAATCATCAGAGCTTGACTTTAAATTCTCTTACATTCAATGGTAGAATTTGTAAGGCTTATAAACTAGCAAATACAAATGAAAATGCTGAGATGTGCACCTGTACCAAATTAAGAAGGTCAAAGTTATGTTTTGCAGATTATTCAGTTCCATATTAGACATACATAATTGATTTCTTGAAGCTGGTAAATAAATTATGATAACTATATTAATCTTGTAATTTCAAGATCATTCCTTGTTGCAGTATTTTTTCTGTTCCTTAAATTTGTAAAACTTTGAAAAATAAGCACATGGTTTACAATTTTAGTCATTTCCATTTTAAACCAACTAAATGTCTCAAAATAATGCAATCTTGAATTAGGATTTTCTACTTAATCTCCAACTGTTTTCTGTAAGTATGTAAATAGTATAGAAATTCTTATCTAAGTAAAATGAATGATCAATGACTTTAAAATTGTGATTTTAACACAAAATAAAACAGTTAAATAGAATGTTGTGAAATAATTTAATTCATGGGCATGTCAGAAGCTGGATGGCGATTTAATTTTGTGGATTGCTTTTTGTCTAAATTAGTACATTTTCATCAAATTGTCAAATTTTTAAGACAGTTTTTATTTTTGCCAATTGTTAAAGGAATATAACCTCTTAAGATGACCACAAATATTAATATATATTGAAACTTGGCCAAAATGAGCATTGTTCATCAGTGGACTTACCTTGTGTCATAACTATACAAAATAATCTCTCCATAATGATCTGATTCCAATAAAATACAGGTAATTTTTGAAAAATGCTTAATATTCCTAAACATATAAAGTAGTTTAGTTGATTTATTGGATTATAGAGGGATTCTGTTGTTAAGTCATGACACCAGGTAAATCAATTGATGAATATATACTCTTTCAAGTTTCAAAATTTAAATTCTTTGGTCATCCTATGAGGTACTATTCCTTTAATACGGTAATATATGCCATATTATAGTGGATTGTCAACAAAAAATGATCTCCCATGAATATTAATGATTTCACAGTCTGGGGAATGAATGAAAAATGGAAGGAATGAATGAACGGAAGACAAATCTAAATATTGATGATAACATTGAAAATGAAAAAGGTGGACAATGTTGTACATATAATAGTGAGATTCTTGAACATGAATCAAATTTGATGAAAAATCTATGAAAGATGGCATCTACATTTAGAATTTAAATCAAAACTCAACTTAAAAGGGTCCTTATTCCCTTTCTTAAAAAATTCAGAGCATTTTTCATTTCACATATTATCAAAGTACAAATTCACTACTCTTAATCTCTACAGGGAAATGAAAATCATAACATTTGGACAATTATAAAATTTTAAACTGTATATTTAAGTCCACAGAGATCATGCTAGAAACTTTGATTTTAGCTATTTTAATGAAACAATATTCTAATTCCTGATCAGTATAACATAATAAATCACAACAAGAGAGCTATTCAAATTTGCATAACTTGATAACATAACATTATGGAAGCTCTATGCAAACATTGTATATCTGAAACAACCATTTATCACAGCTATATAAAAGTTCAGCATTTTTGTTCATATACATATCATTGAGATGATACTCCAGTTATTTCTGAGTTTATATCAATAAAAATTGTTCTAAAACACACCATTTGATAGTGACTTTTAAAATTTTGATTTATTTGGGTTATTAATTAAAAATTCATGATGACAGCATTGATCATTGATCTTATGTTTCATGAAGCAATCATTACTACAGATTTTCTCCTTTGTTTGACAATGAAATTGCCAGAAAATTTGATTTTAGAATACGTGTCGAAGGTACTGCCAGTTAATTCTATTTTTTTTAAAATTGTCCACAAGTTCTTTACTTGTCATGTAATTATGAATTTGGTCTAGTATCAAAAAATTAATTTTTCTTCACTTTTGATAACACAGAATAATGCTGAATTGTATTTTGATTCAAGATTTATTTCTTGCATACATGACCATATCTTAACTATTATTTGAAATTACAAAGTCAACATCACAAATCTTATTAAATGGTCTTTACACAAACAGAAAAAAAAAACTATCGTGATCTAGAACTATCACTGGGAAGAATATCTTGTTGGCGTAGTAAATGGAAACAAAATGATTATCAAAAATACCTAATTCTTTTCACACCAAGATTATTTTTTACAAATGTACAAAACAAAATGACCAGCATTTTTATTCTTGTGAAATAATAATGAATAAATTTTACACAACCAAATTAAAATTTCACAAAACAACATTTTGATTCTGGAAGGATGCAACCACTCATATTTAATTTAAACAACTATTTGTAATAATCTTTGTAAGATATATAGAAATAGGAAGGTTACATTCAAATACTATGATATATGGATATACTAATTTATTACATACTACATTTCGATTTATTTGATAACATTACCTGTATATGTTTTGAAGTGTAGTATGTAATAATTTCAGAGGTAGCAGCCTATATCCATGAACTGAGTACTTTACTGAAACCATTTTTAATCTCATAAGTTACAAACAATTTTAATATCCAAGATATCTATCATTTAATTACAAAAATACTATGCAAATACCCTACCTACAATATAACATAATTATACAAGATATTGTAATTGTAAATCTTATGACATGTAGTTTTATAAATCTTTCAAGATATACCATTAGCTTAATCTACCAAGCTATAAAGCACAAATTATTTCTATGGAAATCAACCATATGTGATCTTACACAGCCATGACAAATTAAAGAAGTTAGAGCCATATTAACAAAACATGTACTTAATAGAATTAAAACATGAATAGAATAAGTTTTCAAATGAACCGATCATTTAGAAGATCTTTAATCAGAACTATTAGAGACACAGCTTTATGGAACAACAATCACTGGTTAAAGTTTTATGCAACGTTTCGACGTGTTTCCCCCTTCGTCCTCAGGCTAATTACATACATGTCTAGATACATCATAACATCTAAATAAAAAAAACTGTCACATTAGATTATTTTTCTTTTCCTTTAAACAGTTCTGGTCTAATAATGATTTTCAAAACCATACCAACCATCAAAATGTTAAAACATTTGAAAACATTTAGCAAATCTGCAGAATGATTTTGTTGTCCATGAGAATGATGAATAATGATAACAATGATGATGATAATGATGATGATTAAATGATGAAATTAAAACCACAATATATGAAAGATGGAGTCAATGATCTATCAACATTTTAATGCACTACTTTAATTTGGGGGTCTTTGCCTTGATTGACTAAAGCTATAGATGTCCGTCCAGCACGTACTATTTCTAAAGTCATTTCTTTACAATCTCGACATATGTTCATCAACGGTCCTTTTATCACATTAGCTGGGTTAGGTTTAAAGATCATAGACTGAGAACGCTGTAATTTTTTACTCTTCTCCCCTTTCTCCTGTTTTCTGTTAGAAGCTGGTGTTACTGGATTGGACCCTGTTGGAGCAAAACTGAAAAGAAAGATAGGATTTTATTAACCACAAAGAAAAGTATTGTAAATATATCATGTTAATCTTCAAAAGGATTGACAAGGTGATAAATCCAGTAAAGAGGTGTTTCTGAAGAATGAGAGCATGTCTTAGCTCATTAGCGACATCCACTACGGTACTTATAATAGTTAACCTCCAATTCTAACAGTTTTTGAACAATATTAGAGCTTATAGATTTGAACGAAATTAAAGGAAAATTATAAGAAACTAAAAGAACATTTGAGCTTTCCTGGTTGAATAAAGAATTTACAAAGCGGTAGGTGTTCCAGAAACAAGTCTTCCATCCATTGAACATAGAACAAACTGAATTGTAAACAAAACTGTCAAGTGGAAGAAAAATGTAGAAATCTAACTATAAATGCATTTGTACTTACTTGACAAGTTTTTTCATAGCTTCTTTAGATTCATGTGTAGGAGAACCAGGACATAATGTATGTACAGGAATATTTTTAAAATGTTCAGTTGGTACATTCATCTGAAATTGAAACAATAAATCTATATTAAAATCTATTTCCCACACATTTTGGGAATTCTTAAAACACTTTAATTTTGTTTTTTTTCCACACCTATCTTGATTTTCATTTTAATAACTTACAATTTAGACCATAAATAATACTTACTTTTCGAAGGCACTTGCTACAAACAGATCTTTTACAGAATTTACATTTTGTTCCCCATTCACCAAATAATGAAAATTTCACTTTCTTACAAGTAAAACAAATCTGAAAAACAAAAGTATAGTTTAGAGTTGTCTCCCTTGATTTATTATGGCTGTCATTTTAAATAATTGAGATACCCGACTTCTTATGCAACTTAAACACAACTAGAATAATTAGGGAAAGATAATTTCTAAGAGCTTTAATCGCAGACTAATCCACCAGTAGAAAGGATCATCTGACTCGGAGCTGTTTATCTGAGAACATAATTTTCTTACCTTTGACTTAGCTACCTGATTATACAATGTTGGTTGAGTTATTAAAGATTCTAATTCAGCTTTGGTTAAAACACTTCTTATATGCGTAACTTCTTCTAATGTTAAATTCAAACACTCAATTGGATTTCGCCATCTTTTCTATAATTTTAAAAAATAAATCTTTTAATAAATAATAACTTAATAAAGCAATTTCAATTACATGTAAGATTTTTTTAAAAGATTTTGAACTCTTGTGCATCATAAACAGATATGTGTATTTTCAACAAAAATACATGACGTACACCCCCAAATAAATATATTACACAAGTTTAACTGTAAGAATGGGTTTAGTGGTATCAGGTAATATCCTTAGCCTGTTTGTTTTTTTCTAAATTGAATACTTGGTGATCATGAGTTTTAATCATGATAAAAGTAAGTCAAGGCGGTGATCTTAAATACAGTATTTTATTCATTATTCAAATGAACTCCACTGTCAATAGGTATATAAGAGAAAGATCATTGTGGAGAGGTTTAGAAGATAAAATGGTGAAACCAGACGTTATCTTTATTTTTTTCATGTTTTATATTTTCAAATCAGATCAACAGTATTTTTGTGGGTTTTGCAATTATTCTAGTCGAAATTAGAGAACTGAACTATAAATTACACTCTATAATAGAACAGATAAATTTTGAAACTAGGTTTGATGTTGTTTACCAACACTGGCCTATAGATTTACTATCTCACTGATGTTGATTCCATGCCAAATAACAAGAATCAAATCATGCACACTCAAAATAAAATACAAGCTAACTTCATTCACTATCAGAAAATATAGAATGCTGTAAAATTCTTAATTTATGAAAAAAAGGTTGCATGATGCACAAGAGTCAATACAAGGCAAAGATATCAAGCAAAATAATTCATAAACATAGAAGATCAACAATTTTCTACTTGAAAATGTAATGAATTGAACAAAGATATTTCAATTGGGACAAAACATTTAAAAAATTAAAATATTGGTATCGGTATAAGTAAATGAAAAGATAGCTTGCAAGGCAAGGTAACATACGCCCACTGGCAGCTGTCAGAAATGATTAAACAGTCTTTAGTGACTACAGTGTTGCACAATATAGCTAATAGAGTGAAACGGTGAAAAATTATCCGATCATCATGAAAATCAATAGATCATCATGAAAATCAATAGGGATCATCTTCATAACGACATAGACATACAAAATAAAAATCAAAAGAATCTGTAAAAAAATGTAGCTTGTAGAGTGAGCACGAGTTGCACAATATAGCTAATAGAGTAAAACGTCAAGTCAGACACGATATTTCGGTGAAAAATTATCCGATCATCACGAAAATCAATAGGGATCATCTTCATAATGACATTGACACACAAAATAAAAATCAAAAGAATCTGTAAAAAATTGTAGCCTGTAGAGTGAGCACGAGTTGCACAATATAGCTAATAGAGAAAAACCTCAAGTCAGACACGATATTTCGGTGAAAAATTATCCGATCATCACGAAAATCAATAGGGATCATCTTCATAATGACATTGACACACAAAATAAAAATCAAAAGAATTCATAAAGAATTGTAGCCTGTAGAGTGAGCATGAGCCAAATGTGAACGGACAGACCGACGGACCGACGGGGTGATTACAATATACGCCCATCTTACGTGTGGGCGTATAAAAATCAAAAGTTTTTCAATACTGTTATAACATTTTCAACCCATTATTTTATATTATGATCATATAGAATATATCTGAGAAAACTATTTTTTGAAAATGTGCCATGTTTAATAATTGTGTAAGGTAAAAAGCAAATTGATATGAACTATTTGGTGCCAAGGTTAATTTGCTGGCATCTAAAGGTTTGACTGCAAAGTTGGATTAAAGAGAAAATAGGTGCAAAAACCAAAGCAAAATGGGAAAAAATTAAATCTTAAGCATGAAAAAATGTGCTTAGATTAAAATAAGTTACAAATTATGTTTTAAAGTTGCCTGTCCTATATAAAACAAAAATAAAATAGAAAATAAACTTGATATTCTAACAAAAAAACAGAGATTTTATAAAGGATTTGTATAGTTAAATCTAGTAATAACCTAAAAGTGAACATATCTGTTGAGGCAAGAGACTTTCTAGTAATTCAAACAGTTTTGGGATCTTTTATTTTTTTCCACAAGGAAAAATTAATCAGATTTAGTTACAGACTTGATACAGCCTTTTAGAATCCCATGAATGAAAGAAAGCATTAATAATAAGCGTGCTAGTACTTACCGGTACAGGCCTACAATCTGGACACGATGCAGAGGAGTTAGTAGAAGTCCGGCAACATGCCGATTTCCAACTTACATGCAGAAGTTCAGTAGCATTCAATTCACTAATATTTTTATAACCAACATCAGTGACGTCATTTTCTTGAATGATCCCTAAACTTGGAGATTGATGGGTCAAAGACCTCTGACCCATCTTTTCAGGTTTTTTTGGTGCTGTACTTTGGTAAATGTTTTGGGGACTAGAATGTTTATTGGATACACCACAACATGTAACTGTTTCTGGACTAGTATAATTTTTAAGGTCGGATAAATTTTGAATTGGAGGTTTTGGTGATTCACATGGTTCTTCTTCCTCTAAGGGTGGTAACTCTTGTTGAACTACCTTGCCGTCTGTTGGTGATTCACACACCATGATGGTATGTCTTCTAACTAATGTACATTGTCTTCTTTCTGATGTCGTCGCATCTCTCACCACTAAAAAATAAGAAAAGAAACTTTACAGATTGTTTAAAATTGATCAAATGAAACCACGTTCTATTTCGGATTTTTCAAGATTATTTCAGTAACTTAGTTTTAGTGTTAAAATGATCGACTGTTCAAGTAAATACATTGTATAAGCTTTCTTACGCTATAATTCAACAGCAAACCTAACCATATAAAGTTTTTCAAATCATATTACAAACCTGTTTGTTGCCAGGATTTAGTTTCAGGAGACGATAAGGGAGACATTGATGCTGACTTTTTCTTTTCTTCTTCCATGAATTCATCCTGATAATCATCATCCTGAAAAAGATATAAAAAAAAAGATCCAATTTTTCTATTCATTAAAGCTGCAACAAGGTTGGCATAAAGGATTCTGACAGCACAACAATTTCTGTGTTGGCAAGCAGAGGAACAAAACAGGACATGCTCACTCATATTTGGAACACCTGATGCCACTCTTCAATAATATTTTTCTTGATGTCTATGTATCACTAGACTTTGATAGTGATTAAAATTGTAACTTACATCAAAACTGTTATTGAGTAGTAGATTAAAGTCAGGTTTGATTATTTTTCGTATAGGTTGTGGACTGAGCTCTTCATCACTGGAGTCTAATGTAGTCCTTGATGTCTCAACTGAAATTTAACAGGAATACAGTTGTAGGAATGTAAATTGACAATAAAAAAAAGAATCAACATAATTCCTGATTGCAGGTTAGAAAAAAGTGACTAGTTGGCGTTAAAATTCATTAACTTCAAATTGATAAAGAATTAGCCCAATTCTCTCATAGCATGTTAAGAAACTCTAAAAATTGTCTTGTCTTTCAAATGACATTGTTTTATTGCATTATTGGCCACAAGAAAATTGAAAACAAGTCCAAATGTTTTGTGTTAACACAATAAAAACTCTTGTCTACAAACAGACAACTTGAACTTGTTACAATTTGTTGGGAATGTGCTAGATAAATATTGCTGTTTTATTGAAAAAGTGTCAAAAATCTGACCAAACATCTTCAATAAATGAGGTAAATTCAGAGTAAAGCGTCAATGAAAGGAATTGTTAGTATTTCTATACAGAAACAGCTTTAAGAGATGTTTACTGGTGTTTTGTTGCAATAGGTCAACCTAGGGTGTTCATTTATTGACATTATGAAAACACCCCGTCATTTTTCCACCAATATTTCATACAATCGTGACATATGACAGTGGGCAATGGTCATCTAATACAAAAATCAAACATAACACAAGAGAGTGACAAATTTGGACAATAAATATGGAATTTAGTTCATACTACTTTTATTGACATCATTTTTACGAGCAAATATTATAATTTGTCCAAAAACAGTCAATCTAACAAAAAATAGTGTATATCAAATCACCCTCCTTACAGCCATTTCATAATAGGGTCGTTTATATATAAATTTGACTGGTCTACAAAGGCAGCACTAAAATTTAACCCCAGATAATTCTTTTCTTAATTCAGCAAGATATCAGCATCAGAATATTTAATGGCTTTACTATTTGATATAGAAAACTGAAGAAACAAAAGAATCTGATATAAAAGTGGTATATGCCCATAAATGTTTATATTATATTTGATATCACTTAAAAAAGTTATTATAGTCTTCAAAAACATTGAACAATTCAATTTAACAACAATATATTATCATGTCTTACACAATGTGTTAAAGTATAAGCCAAAAATTGGGATAAAAAAATGAAATTATCACATGATTTCTCTTTTTAATTACATGTAATAAAATTTGAAATTTAAATATTGACATTATTTGAATATGATAATGAATGAATTAAAAAGAATATTATATTGTTATATTTTAGCCTGGAGTCAACAAGAATCCAATAAAAATTCATATAATCAATCTTCTTTCTTTACTTTTTTTTTTTTAAGATTTGTTGAGTTTTTATAACAATTTTTTTTCGGGGAAATACATTTACAAGAATCACGATTTTGTACAAACGAATTTTTCATTTGAAGTTTTTTTTTTAAACTTTCTCTGAGTCATTATAGAGAGTCAACAAAAATCTTACATGAAATGTATCATGTACATCAAAATGTCATCAAGAATTTTTTTTCTTCCCTAAAAAATAAACGATAGGTTTTTTTAATATAAAATTTTGAATCAATTGCACTAAGAAACTTCTCAAAAATCAAGTAGAAAGACAACAAACATAAGAATGGTATTCAGGTATCGGCAGTTGCAGGCTAATTTCTTAGTCTTGCTTGTACAGCAAATCAAATAATGTTCATAATGTTCAATGATGATGGTTACATTTTAATACATATATCGTCAAATCCTAAATCCTTATTCATTGAAAGTATTAATCTATCCTATCTTTTACATGTTTGTATAGCATGATAAGCACAGTGTACATGTATGATTTATCTTTAATAATATCTCAAAAGTCTACTTCATCTCAAATTTATTCAGGATTTTAAAATATTTCACATATTTCCCACAAGAAAAATAATATCATATTGACAGATACTTCTAGTGTCTTGAATTGAATCAGGGCAGTTGACATGAAAAGGTTGCAAAATTGCAATAAAAAAATACATAGAATCTAAAAGTCTGTTCAAACACACAGCTAACCACATTTCAGTGTTTTGTTTGGAAGTGGATGGAGCCAACTCATGATATTGTGAATTTACCTCCTTAAACGGAGTTTTTAGCAGATTGATGCAGACTGAGATAAGAAATGTTCCCAAACTTTCACTTGTGACAAAATCTATAACCATTAATCATGTCTGTTTTAAATATAACTTGATAAATTTATACAGGGATAAATAGACAAACATAGATCAATATCATGCTTATTTAAGCATATCCTATCTATTATACTATATTGTGTTCCAAAATCATTATTAAAGATAGCTTCCCTAGCTTGTCAAAATATTTCCAAGTTAACCTGTAACAAGTACAACAAATGCCATAAATATTAGATGGGATATTTCCTTTTCCTGGTTGAATCGGGGAGATTTTTCATACAATTTTACATGCTTTATATTTTAGCAGAAATTTTAAGGTCCAACTGCTCCTTTTTCTAAAATTTATCTTTTATGACTTAAACATATCAAAATAATACTTATAATTTAACATTACACAAAATGTGTTCTTACAGAAAATGTATGATCTACTATTTATTGAAACAAAGCAAATGTGTTCCATTTGTAAGTTCTTCAAGCAAAGTAGCACTGTTGAAAATAAAGTTAAGGTTCTAAAAATTTACAGAATGTATCCATCAATATTTCAATGGTACAACTTATCTTTAAAATCATTTTCTATCTGAAAAGCTATAAAATCAGTGTTGTGTTATAATTATAGAGACAATATTTACAACACATTACCCTCACAAATTCACACATTTAACTCAAAATCTATAATATTGTCTATTAACAAGGCTCCCTGGTGTCAACAATGTCGACCTAAGACTTTGAGCTGTACTAATCTTTAAGGAATGTTCAATATAAGCATTCATTTATTCTAGAGGTAAATAACATATTCTAAAAATATATAACCACTGAATGACATGAATAAAATTCGAGGATCTGATGGACTTCATTGCATAAAAACTAGATATGTAAGTAGTTATTGAATTGGCTCAAGGCCACTCTCTTGCAATAAAAAGGTGTGAAGTAGATCTATAATGACATTGCCATTCAATTATCAGCCCTTTAATAAGAGATAATTTTACTCCTCCAAAACAAAAGAGTTATTACCACCATTAGCAACTCAATTAAAGTCCATTTTTTTTGCTATGTACTAGTTTTCTGTCTCAGTGAATTTGAATAATAAATTGAATGTCTGCCTCTCATTATATCAATAACATTCAACAAAATATTCCCATGTCATATTTCTAAACTTAGCCATATTTCTATAAACCCTAATTGATACTGGTACAGAAAGAGTGTGGGAAGGTATGTCTTTATTGACTCTCAAAAAGAAGAGCTGCTAATAATCAAAACATCCTTACTTGAGAAATACCTTTTTGAACTTACATAGTAAACAAACAAAGGGCCATATTCTTTAGATTTAATTCAACTAAATAAGATATTAGATTCCCCAAAAATGCCAAAAGTCAAATCTAATATGGATATTAAATGTCCTGATGCCACTATGAAATTGCATTCATCTTCAATTTCAGGTTGTCCACAATATGCTATAATTTGATCTGAGATGTACAGACAATAACAAATTAAATCAAGATTATAACCTTTTAGAAACGTGTAAAAAGTCAACTTAGTCTCAAAATAGCAGCCCAATTATTGACCTAACATGAACAAATGAAATTGAATTTTAATGTCAAAATGCTCTAGTTAATCTTTAGAATAAACTTAGTGTAAACTATGAAATACTAGAGCACCAAATTTCAATGAATTAAATCATGATAATTTTTATTTCTATATAATATAGGGATGACTCATAGTTACATTTATTGTTAGCCAACATCACATTTATAAATCCAGTGTACATTTCATGTTACACATGAGTACAGATGCAATATAATAATATATATATATATATATATATATATATATTTGTATGTCAATGAATGTAACCTTATAAACACAGATGTGTATAAAAATATTTAAAGTTAATAACAGAGACATATGCTGGCTGAAAATTTCTTTTTTCTTTCAAACAAAAAAAGGAAAAGAACTTTTCTAAATTAAAAAGAGCTAATCAGAAACTGTCAGCACATAAAATGTAAAAGAAATGAAATTAATTTTTCGTCCTACTTTTCTGATTGAGCAATTCAATGTAAGGTGCAATAAGAAAAACTTGATCAAAACAATTCTTTATTTGCTTCTAATTTAAAATGAGGATAGAAGCAATGAGTATCAGCTATAGACATATAAAGGTACATACCCACAAGTTTTCCACCTTTCACTGGTCGTAATTTAGGAATGCTTCTGATATCACTTAATAATAATTCTCTAGGATCTGGGGGGTTGGGTGGTAGTGTTTTTAATTTTCTGTCTTTAGCCTGAAATGAAGAACATAGCCTTACTGGTATCATGTACAGATAGTCTTGTAACAAAGCCGCCACATGCTGTAACAATAAAGTTATTCAAAACATATTTCGTGTTCTGACTTTTGCTTCTGATTTCATCTTTAAAATGCATTGTGCAACTTCAAAATCATTATCCATATGTTTATACAGATGATTTGAAACACAAACTTTCTCTCTTAGAACAGATCTGAAGTTACACACAGCTTTACAACTTCTTGTATAAAAAGTAATTCATTTGTGTACGATAAGGTAGAAACATTGTCTTGTTTTAAAACAATTGGCAAACATAGCATAACGCATTTAAGAATATTTACAAAATACTGATTGAAAAACTTGTTTGAACAACAAGCATGATACTTTCATATCTTGGCAAAATGGCTGCCAAATTTAACAATTGATGTTTTAGTGTGTGTTAGTTTCACATCTATTCTAGAATTCATTCATTAACAAGATCAGAAAGATTGAATGCTAAAATATCTTAAAAATCTCACAGGCACAGCTGATTAAATATTATTCATAGGACAATGTTCTATAACTATAAAAGATCAAAAACAACTATGATGGTGTAAAAAAAAATGGCCACCAATCCTCAAAGCCTACCTTCTTCCTTCGTGACTGTGATACTTCCATGACACAAGTCAAACAACACAGACGCAATAAAATACGCCTACGTGGTTCCTTCATCCACATAAGCATACTTTGAAGGTCCAGGTTAGAACTTTCAGGCTTATAATATCACAATAGTTCATCATTTTAAAGCATAAATGTTCAAATGTATATTTACAAATCCTTGCAGACGCAGAATATATGAATAGCATCTGATACCAAGTCGTCAGAAAAGGTCAATATGACTCATAATTAATAAGCACCAATTAACAGCGTCCATAAATTACCAAATAATTACCAAATATCCTGACAATCCTAACAAAATATATTTTATATTGCGAAAATTTCCATACAGTCACTTATCTACTGGCATTACCCCTATACTCCTAATATAGAGTTCATTTTAGTGGGCCAACCGAATAAACGGTCAATTATATCAAATCAGATAATAAATTACCCTGCATACATATATCATGTCAAATATTCAAATATGTTTTGTAGTGTTTTGTTTATCAGGGACAGTTAAAACTTCTACCTTGCACCATTCCAATTTACTGTTTTATTTACCAGATCGTGACATCATTATTATAAATCTAATAAAACTGATATCTTCAAAACTCATAATCATCTCACAGACCCATTTAACTTATAACTTTGTTCTGTTTTGATGTCAAAATACTAGGGAGTTAAATCACTGAAATTTGACAGATCCTGTATCAATTTGGATTGTGTTTATTGAAAGGAACCTAAATTCTTGTAGGTTTGGTAATTAATCTCTATAATTATCTTAATTTACTGACTAATTAGACAATAATTAATAATAGACCTACTGCTGAAATTTATAGGCCAGATCTCTTACTAAGAATACCAGGCATACATGTTTATATTAACATGAAAATTTACTGAGTTTTAAGCCAAATTAGAACAAATTGTTCAGCTTTGACCACAAATAGGTTTAAGTGTGACCAAACATATTATTGAGAACAAACAAATATGTTTAAAGAATCTATTTCTCAAAAATAAATCAAGCTTATTGAAAGCTTAGAAAAACATGCAGTGAATAATACTAGTATTTCAGTAACAAATCGGACAAAAAAAAAACTATTTTATTTCACAAACTGTTGAAAAGAATTTTAAAACCAAACACTACTAACAGTCAAGGGTATTGTCAACAGTGTGTTTCAGATGCTCAGCATGATTCCATGTTTATCTGGACCAATATTTAGAAACATGTAGTTACTAATCAAGGTAAACACTACCTTCAAATAAACAGACTACATTTTCAATCATATGTCAACAATAATACTGCATGTAGCTACAAAGCATTCTGCTATTGTAGGCATTAAGGGTAACTATTGATTTCAAATATTGCTACAATCCAATAATACTAATCAGCTATCTGACCATTACTTCCTTGTAAACTATGACATCACTTTCATAAGTAGAGAGAATTTATTTACCTACTTTCACAAAACGACATAAAATTTTACAATTTTGCATTGTTTAGACTTCTGGTGATTGTTGTTCAAGGTAACATTGTTGTTCTGGGAAATGCATTTAGACAGAATTTCAGTTTTTCTGAAAACAGCTGACACACAATGTAAGAAAAGTATGAAAACAAAATGTCCACAAAATTGTAAGTCTTAGGTACAATTTTACAGAAAAAAACATAAATTAGCATACCTTTTTTAATGGGGGTCTGGAACGGATAAAATCTAATATCACATTATGAGCGTCTGTTTTGACTTTTTGAGGTAATTCACCATTAATCTAGTAGAAGGAACATGCAGAAATGAATTAGTATAACAATATAGACATCATGCAACTAAAGCACACTGCACACAATGTATTATTAATCCATGACAACAGGCTTCATCACAGCATCACATTATACATTATGCATCATTAATGAATAAGAGAAGGGTGTAACATCACATCGTATTAACTGTATCATTAATGCATGAGAAATGTGTCCAAGTTTCATGCTAAGAATGGTGAGATCACATCACATCAACTTGTAAACAATCTATCTCCTATGCTTAACAATAATAGAATATCACATAAAATGGCATAACCATTTGAAACCAAGTCAAAGCCATGTTTCCATGATAAATTAAATTTGCTCCAGATTACAAAAGCTCATTTAGTAGCTTCTATCAAATCAACACCAAATTCAATTAAATATCAACACAGTTGAAGTCATAACCAATGTTTTAGTTTGAAGGCTAAAAGATGGCAGACTTGATAGACAGTGATAACATGCATAATATATTGAAATTCAAATTATTACTTACCATAATTTTATGGAGGGCGTATCTCCGAGATCTGATATCTTCTAACAATATCTCAAACGGAGTCAATTCATATTCTACTGGTGGAAAATTCACATGTTCAACCTTCTTTAATCTCACCCCTTGTCGTAACTGTCGCATAATCTGTACCCATAATCGCGCCTAAAATTATCAAATATACATAGAGATTTAAAAAATATCCACTTATTCTAAGCCTGGTACCACCTTGAACAGTTAACCTCATGTGATAACAATGTCAGAAAATTGCTTACAGGTCAAAAATTGGCACCACACACCCAATATGCTATAAATAGTTCTAACAGGTAAACACAGAATAATGATGTAAATAAATAATTCCTGTATTGTATTATCTACCATTTTTGAAATATGATATTCATGAAGATTTATTGGGTTCTGAATAATTAATAAAAATTATTTTAAAGGTTTTGAGAAATATGTTATAAGGTCAATCAAAACAGTCATTTTAGACTATAGTATAGGACATTCCCTATCAATCAAATGTTTTTGCTTTTTGTCAGTCAAAATCTTTGTTTTTAAGAATGTCGGCCAAATTAAATTCCTGACTAAAAACTGTTAATCTTTCTAAAAGAGACATAAATATGGGCAGGAACAATAAGCTGTCAACTAGGCGTCTAGATCTATGTCAAATAAAAGTTATTAAGTACTTACCCAATCACTGCTCTCCAGATCATCAAGAGCACGACTATCATTATCTCTTGATTGATTTGATAGATTCTAAAATTATAAATAATATACTAGTTAACAACAGATAACCTGATATCACTCTTACTTAGATGTCAATATTTGACAGATGTGGGACACTCTCATAATAATTGAATTGTGATACAAAGGTGGTGAGGCTGTGAAACTGGAAGATAGTCGAAGATTAACTTTTTGATTTTTAATGCAGCATTATTTGATGTATCATGTACCATGTGTGTGTGTGTGTGTGTGTGTAATTTGTCAAAAAACAGAATGTAAGTAAGATAGAATCAAAATCAATGAAGTATGAAATGAATATTTAAATAATTATAATAAATAATATAACAATATTCGATATAACCTAATTATTCTGATCAATTTAATAATTAACTACCAAACTAACAGATGATTCCTAAATTTGTTATTCACATTTTTATTATTAACATATTTATAACACGCCCTAGAAATTCAAGACCATTTTTAAATCTGATGTAAAAGTCTGGGGCCTTTTTTGCTCCAAATATTGTTGATTTTTAAGGTTGACCTTGGTAAAAACTCAATCAGAGTTTGGAAACTGTGACATGCAGGTGATCATTGTGTTGGTGAAGGTGTTGGTCAGTTTCTCAAAGGAAGCTTCTGTTTGTTTGGATTGCAATGAAATGCCTTTGAATCCAAGTTGAAATAAACAAGCAAACCTTTAGAGAAAAAACAATGAATTTGGAAACATTTCCTTGTTTCAGAGAGAATAAGTCATCAAAATTCAAATCATTTGAATTTTAAAAAAAAAATATCCAGAAAAATGACTGGGCTTGAAAAGATTCTCTGTCAATTGACAAGTCAATATTTGTGAGTACTGGTATTTATAAAGAATGTCAGGTAAATTAGAAATCTAATATTCTATTATCAATACAACCCTTAACAAATCATGTTTAATCATCACAATATCTACTCAATAATCTCAAGTATTTCAGAAGCCTAATAAAATAAAAAAAGATTGTTAAGGGGTGGCTATTGAATTAGAGTAGTTTTCAAATTTTGGGTCACTTCAGTACTATGTACAGCATTGTAACCTGGCAGCATAAATTAATAATAATATAGTTACTATTCCCTGCCTACAGAATCAGAAATTTTATAAACAACTAAGTATATGGTGTTCCCACTGAGCTATTACATTGCTCTTACTCTGAAATTAATGTAAGCAAAGAATAGGAATGATATGAATTCAAAATATGGAATGGTCGTAAGAAAGACAGGAAAATTTGAGCCATGAATGTACATATAACAAACAAACTTTCATCATTGAGATTCTAAATCTTATTATGCTGAGACAATTTCCATGATGAATTACCAGGAAGCAGGAAGTTCCACCCTTCCTTACAGATTAACACTACACTTATTGGTGTCAGTTAAAAACTCAATTAACCCTTGTGAACTAGAGCAAGCAATATGCCATGTGTGAATCGTTCTCATTTGCTTAATTCAAACAAAATGTCACAAGTACCATTTGACCACTAAGTGAAGCATATTAAATGGACACTAAAATACTCACTTAACTTACTAAATTTATTGGTATATATAATTCTAAGATAAGGATATTCTTAATACTATTATACTTTTATAGTACTATAATATAAAGGGATTTAATTAATAGGTTAAAAGGAACATGGTTTCGAGGTAATGTACTATTTAGGGCAATGACCTATGATGATGGACTATTGGTAAAAACACACAGAGTGTTGATGAAATTGCTCTAGATTGAAACACTGTCTATTTTTGATACCATTGTTTTGAAATAAATCAAATTTAATTAGAATTTGTAAAATTTTATCTGATCATGAGTCATACACGTCTTTTTTTCCTTCTTCAATTGATATTTAGTATGTTATATATAATATATAAGACAAGGTAAAGTTCTAAGAAGTAAACAATCATAATGAAATAATAAATAGATTAAAACTTAATAGTTTATTGCAGTTAGAAGTAAGCATTCAAACCAATGGCATGTCAATAAAAAAAAAAGGTTGGAATAACCAAACTTGGTAAATGTACAAAAAATGAAGAGAGTAGATGGTTTTCAATATGCATGGTCAGTAGCAGTTTGACCAGTGGATATTTGGGGGAATTTCACAGTTGACTGCCATCAACACACAATGTGCTTGACCTCTAAACATTTTATTGAACATGGGATGTACGGGGACCCATCAATATCACTAGCAATACACTGTGAAAATGGACATCCTAATCCTAGCCCAAACGTTACAGTAGTGTGAAACTCTCTACTTGAAAAGTCCAGTGTTAGAATTTAGAAAATCTTTCCAACTGACCAAAATTCAACATTGACATAAGTTTATAGTCAACGTTTGAAGTTCCTTTTATATAGACTATGTTGACGGTAGACTAGTGCTTTCTGTTTATTTGAAATGGTTTAAATTTAAATCATTCCCTGAACAAATCAAAGAAGATATAAGGTCAGGAGATTTTTTCACAGGATTTTATTTTATCTTGTCAAGGAAGTATATTTGTAAACTACAGATTATACGAATAAAATGGTGGATGAACCTAATATACAAAACATATTCTATTCTAGATGAACAATAAAACAAAATACAAATTGGCTTTTGTTGCAAAAATTGAAAACAAATGTCCATGAAATTTGCCACTGAAAGTGCAGTTAGTTGTAATTGAAAAAAGGCCAGAGAAAATAGATAGAAAATTTATATCACTTGTTATTCTATCATATTCTAGCCATTGATTTGTAATAAAACAAGCTGAATAAAAATAACATTAACATCATTATAACTGACACCATGCTATTATTATTAAAATTCAATTAATTCATATTGATTGTGGTCTCTATGCATATTCATTTATGAGTATATAGAGGATAAATTGATACAGAGCCAACAACTGAGAAATTAATAAACATGGGTGATATTATATTCTGTCAAGCATTCTTTATTGTTATAATATTGATGACTAATCTCTAAATATTTCCTGCTATTGAAAATTCCTTCAGTTATGAGAAAAAGTGCTTATAAAATTTAGGAAATCAAAAAAATATGAAAATTCTGAAATCTGACTACTATTAATACAGATGCAAACTTTTTCAAATGATTTAGTTGCACATATACCCAAAACATGAAAAAACAACACACATAAAGAAAGTAAGATTTTTGGAGTATCATGGAGTGAGTTGTTCCCTTTTAATAATAACATCAACCAACTCAAACAATGAAAATGCAAATGCACCAAATTGTGTTGGAATGTTTGTCAGACTGCCAAGTATTAACTGTAGACTATGATTATATTATAGTTAGTTAGTGGTACTATTTTAGTGTCATGATGTCTTCAAGTAGGTACAAACTTACAAACAAAAATAGTACATCATGAAGAATATTGTAGGTTGTTTAGTCATAGATTATACTAAATCCTTGCTGTACAGTACAATAGAAAACTGTTCAAACTTGTACAACATTCTTACTCTGATCTACAAATTCTACTGAAATTCTATATCAACTGTATGAAAAGCTGGATAGTCCTATCTAAAGAAGTTGACATCATCTTCTCTATGCCAAGCTATTACGAGCCTTGTACTTATACCTTGAACCAATAGCCACCTTTCCTATATCATGGATGTTTGGCCAATACGGCGATCAGATCCTTAAACAGAAAGGCCTCAGACATGGTTTTGTGTTGACTGACTTTCTGTCGAGGCCTCTGATTGGCTGTATACGTAACAGCTTGACATTGTGGAGAAGAGTAACCATGCTCTGTTCCACTATTGACAATGATAAGATAGAAAGAATCAATTGACATCTTACCTGCTGACCAGTTGATATTTTATCAAGAAAACTAATTAATTCCTGAGCTTCTGTAACTAAGGCTCTACATACAGCTTTATAATGACGTGTATCTTGTCTGGAAGATAGGTGATGGGTACATAACTGAAATATACACAAAAATATAAATTAAATAAAGATTTTGCAAACAGTAAATGAAATAAGATAAAATCTGTTTTTTGACAAAATAAACTAATTTGATTAGTTAAACCTAGTTGAATTCAGTTCTAATGAAACTGAAATTTCTTCAAACCCTTTATTTTGTGATATAGTCCCGATGGAGCTGAATATCAGTTAGATGTTCAGTGATATCCATGGAGTGAGAATGCTATACCTCTTCTAACTTTCATACAAGAAAATAAGCGATATTTTGAAATTGGCAAGGAAATATACTGTGTTGTTTGTTGATTCAGGATACTATGTGGTTGTAAAAACAGTGGATAAAGATACAAGAAACAATTTTTACAGCAGGTAAACTGGGATTGGTCTAAATCATATACTAACAACTGTTAAACAACTGCATGTATTTAAGAGATAAAAAGTCATAAATAAAAGACATAACTAGCATCAGTGACACATGTCATCTATTTAACATGTCAATCTAACTATGACATATTCTTTAGGATATGAGGTCTTGTAATATTTGACATCAGATGACCTGAAATCTGCATGATAATTAGAACCAATGTCTACTTTTCTTTAATTTAAATTTCTAAATATTGTTTTTGGGGATTATATTCTTATCTTGAGAGATTTTAATTTTACCCGGAACTAATATTTAATGGCCCTATTTTCAATATCATTATGATATAAGTGTATAATGAATGACTATATAGTAAATAGATAAAAGATACTATTTGAAATTCAAATTTGAAATTTAACGATAAAGAGCCAACACTACATGACATGCTTCAGTACCGTTACGATAGTTTTTAAAAGTGTTTAACTGTCTTGTGAACTACTGTACACCCACAAAATAAATACAAGGCTAATGTTATAAGATATAGTTAATCCACTCTAGATAATCCTTTCTAATGTTTGAGGAGAAAAACCTTCTACAATTTACAACACTTAAATCTTTTGTAATAAATCTTGTCTTTACTTACTTCCATAAACAGAATTTCACTTTAAATTTAGATTTAATATGGCATGTTTGATCAATTCATTTAAAAGATATGCATTTTGAAAAGGTTTTAACAAATATTTATTTAAGAACAGGCAAGAAGTGTATTTTGGTTAATAATGTTGTCAAGAGGCTTGAAAGGTTCTCAGCTGACATGCAAAATATGTTCAACTTATTGCATTTCTTTGACAATGTTTGTGTTCTAACACTTTAACTTGCAATTTTCACAAAAATAATGACACTTTAAATTTTCTTTAATCAATGTTAGTGTGTGAAAAATGTATCTTTCACCTGAATGCACCAGGGATCTGAGAGACAAAATTAGGCTGGAAATAATATGCAGTGTGCAATAAGATTTTTACTTGCAATATGTGTGGCCTCAAATTACCAAGCAATTCAAACAATTAGGTGATTTTCAATGTCAGTCCTTCTGACCTGCATCATTCACAGGAATGAAAGTTCTGAAATGATTGAAGTCTGGACCTCAAGAGTACTTGACTTATAACATGTTGAATATGTATGATCTGAGTGAGAAAGGAGGAAGCATGTAGAAGGAAGGTGATACAGTACATGGACAGTAAGACGTAAATTCATGCTATTACTTAATTTCCTATTTAAAAATACATTTCAAAAGGAAACTTAGGTTATGTACTCAAATGTTATCAGTTGATCATCTGAAGCAGACTGCAACATTCTAGTAACCATAAATAGGTGTTGAACTTGATCCCTGGGAAAAGATATCCTTTGTTAGATTTTATCATGGAGGTTTCAATGTATTTCACCAATTAACCATCAATAGCCTTTAGAAAGCATCAGGTAATTTGTCAGTAAACTGTATTTAATATAAACCACCTCTTTTATCATCTATGTGTAAAAATTCCTCTGCCCATTTAGCCAATATAGAGTAACATACCTGTGGTAATTTAGTATTATGAGGTCAAACCAACCACAAATATACTAGTTTATCTGCAGCAATTTACATACCATTGCATTGATACACACTTACAATAATATTAGGCAGTTTTTTTCATCAAATATAATTATTTTTACCACAATAGAAGTTTAAAAGCTACTTTGACATGGATGAGCTGAATGGGATGTCAATTGGTAAACCTAGTTGCAGAGAGGCATGAGATTTGAGATGTAAGAAAAAGAAAAAGTTAAGGATCCTTTCCCGGATTATCTGTTCCCAATTACAGCTGGGTCAACTGGAATTATGCCTATCAAGAATTGAACCAACAGCCACCATTTGCTCAACAAGGACCAACACTCTAATCAACTGCACTACAGAATCCCAGATGACGTTACACATTTAAGACTGAATAACTAAAGAACAGAATACATTCTAAAAAAAAGACAAAAGGGCCACACAAGATGTAAGTGTATTCGAATCAAAGTTTTTGAAAGAAAAACCATAAGGAGTATCAGAAAGATCATTTAAAGCTGTTTTCTTAGAAAACTTCAAGGGACTAGGTGGAGGTAGGTACACCTAATGTAAGTCATGCTTATTTGACCATTACTTGATATTTGTGTCAATTCACAATCATTGTCTTGAAGTATATATACATATAAGGTATGAATGAAATCAGCAACACCAGATCATGAAGATTGTTAGTGAAGAAAACACATGATGAGATGAAATAAGATGTTATTATAAATATTGATGACAGATCAAACTGTATCATATAATCAGTGAAGAGAAAAAACTGACACAAATTGTGTTATGTAGGTGTATATATAATAATAGATATAATAAAATTATGTATATGATATTAGAATAATACACATAGGTCACTTCATTCTTTTATAATCATCTGGAAATCATTTTTCCTGTAATTTCCTGTAACTTGTCTAAAAGACAACTTGCAGGACCAAAACACTAACATCGAGACAACTATTTTTTCTTATATAGATTCTTGACATCTAGTTGATCAAAATCACCAAATGCACAATACAACATCAAATGTAGGAAAAAATTTTTTGGCCCACTCAGTATCAATCATAGCTTAACTATCTCATTAATTAGACTTAACATAGAGCGAAAATAGCTTTATCTAAATCCCATTCTTTCCTAGTCTTCATCATGTCATTTTATCTGTAAGTGATAGATTTATTTTCTGATACCCTTGAGAGACTTCACTCACAAAGATACACTTAAAACTAATGAAATGTCTATTCAGGAAATGAAATTTTAAGAAACTGGCAAAATTTCACAGCAAGATCAATGAATGAATTGAGAATGTAGAGTAAACTTTGACTCCCACTAATTTCACAAGTTAAACAACTGATAGCACTTATATGAAAAGACAACAAGAAAAATATTTGTCTTCAAAATTAAGTTTTATTTTCCAGTAAAGAGAAGATGAAACAAAATACAATCAGAATAGCTAAGTTAAGTTAGTTGAAGTCAGTGTGGAATGGTCAAGCAGGCCATCTATCTATTCAGGAAAATGAAATTGAAGGTCTTGAACACTAAGAAAAGCAAATCTAAGATGTATGCCATGTTTCCAAGTGTGAAATGTTTCTAAAGGAAAAGTGATTGGAAATCTTTCATAACAACTGCGAAACCTTGTCAAATTCTGACTGTTTGTCAATCAAATTACTACTGACAGACGCCAAATGTCGTGACCTACACCACACATATCCCATATATCAATATAGATAAATCTAAGTCAATTTTTATCAATTTTCTATATTTCTAGTTAATAAACATGACAAATAACTGTCAATCATAATTTTCCACTATCCAGGTATTTATTTTAAAAATTAGATCTGTATTCAAATTTCTTTTATATAATCCTACTTGACGACACAATGGCTCCATGTGTTTTGTCATTTATGAGGGAAATGACCTTTGTAGTTCAGAATTGACATCATTTTAGGCCTACTTAAAAAAATTCAGGATTAAAAAAACTTGGGATTGAAATAAGTTTTCTGTTTACATTTTTACACCTTACTGACTACTTATCTCTGACTTCGTCAAGATCTCACTTAAAGCAGTGTTGATGAACATGATTTGAGAAAATCTCACATTAATCTGTCTATAGTGTGTCAATATAGATATTAAATGCTTCAAACCAGTATTATTTCATGAAAAATGATCACTAACACGCTCTACACAAAAAGTTCCTCCAATATTAAAGAGTTTACTTCAAGTGTGACATTCCACCATTTTGGACTAATGAATCAAGTTGAAAAGGGCCATTATTAGATGATAATGATAGAGGGAGGGCTAACATGGGATCTGGTTTCTTCAAATCATATTATTAGAAAATATGTGAAAAATTTCAATAATAGCATGTTATGTGATGACATTTTATACATGAATATTTCTCCATGTCATAAACATAGCAACGCTCCATTAACTATCTTACAGGGAGCAATGTTCTTAAAGCCATTTTATGACCAATTTCACTTATGACTGTGATCCTTTTAATTGAACTTCTATTATAATTTGTCACAGTTTAATAGTAGGGGTTTAACTATTATGACATTCCAGGACATTAAATTCTAAAGTCAGTGGCAACCAGTTCAATTAGAAAGCAAGAATTGTGACTTTGAAACAAACAACTGACAGTTGAAGAATTGATTTATTTTACAATCCTTTATTTCATTAAGTATATTAGTATCAGTCAGTGAATTAATTTGTCAGCTCCAGATCTTTGATTCTTCAGAGGGTATTTCTAAGGGAATTCGTGTTTGAAAATTATGTACTCATTACATTTGCTCTTTTAAAATATTGATCTCTTTAAATATAAAATTCACTTAAGAGACATTTTCAGACAACTTTCATAAGCACTTGAAGTCATTTGTGAATGTCTGGTCATATTATCATGATGTTTCAATGGTTTAGCAATAACATTTTGGGATTTTGCATATATATTGTGTTATTTGTAATCATTTCCATGATTCAGCATTGCAATATTAGTATATTATTTACAATATATTCCTAATTTAATGTGTGGGATGTTTAAAATCTAAAATTGATTTCCATAAACTGCATGTCTAGCAAAAACACAAATCTCATGCCGTCAGTTGAAATTAACTTTAGGTAAAAATCAATAGATATACATGTGAATTCCATTTTGTTTATAATGAATATAAATTTGTTCTATAAAAGGGTGGTTTGTCTACAAATTTACAAAAGAAACGAAATCGTGTGTGGTGTGATTTGACAGGCTTTACAAAAGATTAGTTTAATTTCACCTTCAAGTTAATCCATTCAATTTAAGACTTATTTACTTTTAATCCCTACGCATTGAATACAGTTAAGGCATGTTGTTGCATGTTTAATCCTATTTTAAACAAATCTCATTTCACTTGTGATATACAGACCTGATCTGTTTGAAGATATATTTGAATTTCTTACTACCCTTGATATATATTTTTAATAATAATTACTATTATTACATATTACTACTATTACATATTACTAACTATTGGTCGATTAGTTAACACAGGGCAATCTATAAAAAGGCACTGGACATGCCATCAGAAATGCCCTTCCCATGATGGGGATTCAAACCAGGTCCCGCAATACAAGTCTCATTATCTATCTATATGCTTTCACTGACTAATCCCAATAACGGTTGGTGTCACAATCTTAAACTAACCAATTCAATTTATGTTGGTATCAAGAGTCAGCAAACTGAAAAGCAGAATTAACTTAGCATAAAACTTTGGATATGTTTATGAAATAAATAAACTGTCCAGTTTCAGATTTTATATGTACAAGTTTGCATAACAATATCAAACATCCATTTTATCTGAAACTCTATGCACCTATAAAGTGTTAAGTTAATCTCATGTTTCCATGAGGCAGGCAGATAATAAAGTAAGATTTCATTCTTAGATTAAATACATAATAAATAATATAATACAAGACAGTATAAATTATCTTTTAAAAATGATTAAAAATGGTGGGGATACTCTAGTTACATCACATTACCTTATCTTTTTACAGTTTTTACACCAAACCAAGAAAAATAACAATAGACAAGATAGATGATAACAATGTAACTGTCACACCTTCTGTTACATTGCTGTTATAAATATCATATTTACACCCTTTAAATTACTGTTTACATTTCAAATATATAATTCTTAGCGACCATCCTAAGCAAGGTTCAAGAGATTGTAAAGAGGTTTACAAAATTTTTAATGTGTATCAGGGATACTGTTAGCTTCAATTTGCACATTTCCAGTTGTTCCTGCAATTCCACTGAATTAAAGTGTTTAATGAGGTCACTAATCGCAAAATATTCCTAATCACATAAGGACCTTTGAGATTAGCGACATCAACTTGCCATCCCATTTAAAGAGTCTATATAAGCTTACTTGGTATATTCATTATTTAAAGAGTAGACAAGACTATATTCTATAAAAGCCCAATATGAATTATTAGAATAAAGCTAACAATATAAGTATAACTATGAGACTAATTGGGTGAAATACCTGTAGGTAATAGAAATATTGAGAGTATAATATTGGTAGATAATACAGTATATCATAATCCTACATCTACTGTTAACATATACCTAACAGTCATATCCATAGTTTATAGATACTATCACAATACATCTTTACCACAATCTACATCAGATTACTGTTTTAACAAATACATGCAAGATGCAAATTCTTTTTTTTTTAGTTCAGTTTTAATCATCTATTCTTAAAAGGTTCATTGGAAATATCCTATATTCATTAAAATTTTCTTTAGCCTAATCAGAAGCAAAACAGAATGACAATTTCATAGCCTTTGCATCAAAAATACATTACTATTTAACTACTATCATAGAAAAAGTCAATTTAATCTGTTTTATTATGATTAAATTTGTCTTCTGAGCAGTGGTGGTACCAGTGGGAGTACAAATTAAAAAAAACCGATTTTGATACTTTTTGGCCAGAAATGTCAGATTGCACCAAATCAATCAATTTTTCAAAAATTTTCCTGGGAAACCCTCTGAAACGCCACATGAGAGGCTTGACACCATGACACCTCCACAGACTTTTCAATTCAGTCTGTCCCCTCATTTTGTCTTCTCCCTATTTGTATCCCTCATCTTAGGAAGCTGGCTTGTGACTCACTGCTTCTGGGTCACCTTAAAATGATGTTAATGCTTTTCACATGTAAAAATGAAAATCTATATGACATACCAGTACATATACATAAATCAAGGCTATGTTAAACTAAATACACTCTAAAATGATTATTTTATGCATGAATAAATGTAACAACTGTCAAATTTATTTTGAGGCTGACAATTTGATTGTTTTCTAGAGAGGAAACTGTCTACACCTTTGTTTCAAATTAACAAATCTCAAGTCAAACTTGGCGTCTAAAATCTCTAGGTGCAATTATGTTGCAATGTTTGTTTATTCAAGTGAAACATCCTTCTCTTCTTTTAAAGACACTAAACTTATGAATTTTAGTTAAATTTGAGTTATCAATACAATGTATGGAATCTTTTCTGAGCGGCAGCCTAAATCACCACAGTTCACTACTGAGAAGAACCAAAGTTTAATGTTTAATTGAAGTTGAACAACTACGTTTTGGTGATCTCCAGTATGTCTACAATCAAGTAAGAATCCTTAGTTTCATGAAATAAGTCTTAAGCATGTGAATTGTAATTTTCATCTCCATAAGTGACTTGTTTTGACCTTCAAGAGCTAAAATGTCCATGACTGCAGGTTTCTCATATAAAATTCATGAAATGGCTCAAAATAACACAGTTAGAAAATTGGTTACCATGTGCATCTAAAATTTAGATGAAAACAGTGGTATAAAAGCACGAAGCCACAGATCTGATAATCTAGAAAGATAACATCAACCTAATCAACACATAGTCAACTTGACATCTACAATACACCTTCTTGATAATTACAAACCAAATTTGATCTTCATTGTTACCTCATTTCATCTACATACAAATTGTTGACATATAGCTAGTCATGTAGAAAACCAATACCTAGGTCAGAAATATAGTACATTCCTTCTTGTCACTGAAATTGTTGAAGCTTGCAGTAATTGTCATGATAGGGTGGGTGTAATTTGCCAATCTACCTAATTTGATGCAACTAAATATTCATGTAGAATAATACTTTTTGATTTTTGATTTTTTGTTTATCTTTGCACGTAAGAGAGCCCTCTGCATTTTTGTAGTCGCAATAAAACAACCACTGTAGTCTGTAACAATAATAGAATGTAATAATGTAATACAGTTTTGAATGCAATTTTATCAGGTGCCCATTTGTCATAAATGTCTTTTGCCAAGATTTTTACTAATGAGATGAATTTTGCATTCTGGCAGTTTATAGAGGGTATAAAGGCAGTTTTCACCAGAATGTTACAGTAAGTTGACCTAATCAAACAGGGTTTCTCAGTTAATCAGATTTCCTTTAATTAATTCATGCCCCAATAACACAAATAAATTTTTTCAACAAATTTGGCCGTATCAATTTCATAAGACTTCAAACACATATTTTCCACTTGATACTGTCATTTAATTTGATCAAATTGAGTTGGTCTAATTCCTAAATTACACACGGTCAATCAACTGGACATAGAGATATTGTATGACATATGTAGTTTAAAATGATACTACTAAATATAGACAAATCAAGAATAAAGGTGCCTCAAACCAGATCTGACATGACATGGTACAGCAAGACAAAATACAATCAATATAACAATATTGTATAGTTTATGCAACATATATTGTTTCTATATTTTTGTTGAGTCGAACCTTCATAAGTCGATCAGCTAGAAAATATTCTGAAAATTTAGAAATTATTTGTTTCTTAAAGAGCTAGTCAAAGATATCTCAAAATAGCGAAAATCGTAAAAATCATAGGAATCATAAGTCTTGTAAAGCAGTAATGTTAAGCAACTAAGAGTTGCTCCAAACTATTGAATTTAACACTATGAGGTGTGGTCTATGTGTTGAGGTGTACAGGCGTGAAATTAGATTAATGAATAAATGTTTATAACTGATGAAATATTGAGACCAGCATACAAATCATAGGATTATATTTCAGACAAGTATTTCAGTTATTTCATATCAAATTTTACCTGATCAAAGAGTTTTATTATACTCAAGAACAAAGTATATCATACCAAACCCTACCCCTACTTGTTCTGGTGTATTTTTTATCAAAAGATGTTAATTAATTTTAGATCATAAAGGCACAAAACTAAACCATGCTTACCAGTTCTACTTGTTTAAATGTACAATGTTGTGGAGATTCTCTAGTGTCAAAATCATCTTCAGCATCTTTCTCAATACCTTCATCATCAGCTGTTTGAGATTCATCAGTTTCATCATCTTCATGTGTCATCAGATCTATCAAATTCTCCAGATCATGGCTTAGTTGTCTTTCCTCATTTTCATGAAATCCATGATCTAAAGCTTTAAAAATTGTTACACCCAATGTTCTGATTGCCTGAAAAAGGAATCATTAAATGGTTAAATTTTCGGCTTGTTCCAAAAACAGAATTTTTCTATCGCATTATTTGCTTCACCATACCACTTGTCCAGAAACTCTGAATGAGCTTGCAAGTAATCTATTTGCTGAACAGAGAGGAATCAATTGCATTAATTGATTTATGGACCACATCAATGGATGTAAGAATCACATCAATGGATATTTAAAGCATCACATCAATTTAGATATAGATCACATGAGTCAGTCAACTGATATATCGATGACCTCAATCAAGTAAAGGGTCATATCATTTGATATATATGGATCCCAACAATTGATCTTTGGATCAAATGAGTCAATTGGATTGTGGATCACAGGCAGTTTTAATATATTTGTTGATTGACCGCCTTCAGGGAAATGATTCATATTAAATATGAAATATAACCAAAGAATTAAACCAATAATAATATTGTATATCAGTAAGCTAGGTCTAATAGTTAATAAAGGAGTTAATCAAACAGTATTTTGAACAAATATGAATATCCATTTATAGTTTTAGGTTTCATGGACCAGTACTAATGAATGAAATCTTTCACCTACAGATCAAAAAAGATAAAGGAGGAGTCCAAATGGGTACATTTTTTATTAGTACTCCCACCAAAAGTGAGATGGCGGTATTTCAATATAGTTAGGAATGTCTGTACACACTTCAGATATATAATAAGTACTTTAACTATAAGTCACACCTTTGCCATGTCATTCTCTCGTTTTTTTATCAGTAGGTAAAATCCATCACGCTTTATTGGTCATTATTAAATGTTAGAAAGAAAGGGGTTTTAAGTCATTTCTATGAAGTGGTACTATTTTTATACTTATTAGGGACAACATAGATTACTATCATACCAACTAGTACTGGCTAACCCTTTTATTATGACTACCTCTCTAGTATTTTGCAAACATGAACAGTTCAATTTCTATCTTATTTAAAATCTCAATACAAAATTGACCATATATTATAAGTTTTGTATAATTTGTTTGATACAAAAATTTCAAAGCATTATTTCAAAATTCAATGCAAGCAAAGTCATTTTGTACAAATATAAAAGTAGGCTAATACTTTCACAAACTGGTCTAATCAATAATTCAAATAATACGCTTGGAAAAACAAGAATAAGTATTAGACCATCCACATTAAAATTTTTAATGTTAATATTTAGATCAAATTACTGATATCAATGGTGAAAAACAATGCAAATACTGCTTTCAAAGTCAAAACAAACATCCCAAATTTCTTCTTCATTTTCTTAAATAAATTAAGACATTGATAGTCAACACTATACACAATCAGTAAATTGATTAAAATGGCCGACAGATAAACATTGGGCAGTCGCTTCACATGATCAAAATACCAATACTAAAGAACAATCTAACCCCCTAAAGTCCCAGTCTCACGTTCTAGTATTGTCTGGTATGAGGACTAGTAACTAAAGAAATTAGAGTATTGAATAGATTAATTAGATGTATTGTTATGGTGTAAAGTAGGGGACATGTTGTTAAATGACAATTTGTGATTTATGCAGAAATAATGGACGTCTGCCTTTAGAATTTCAATAAAGACCATGAACTGAAACCCTATCTCTTCAAGATCCTCATTAATTCCAACCTGTAATCTTATAAAGTGATCAAATGATAATCCAAAAGGTTTTTTCCATTTTCCAGCTCTCTTCTAGTCAAATGTAAAACATGTCCATTGTTTTCTTTTGACCCTGAGGCCTGAGAATTTATTATTGGTTCAGTCAATTTCGATATTTGATTTGATTTTCCATTATCTGAATTATTTTGCGGGAGCATAATTCTAAGGCAAAAATCTTGCCTTTGAAAGATTAAAAAACAAACAAGAAATGTACTTAAATAGCGTACTTACATCCCCTTCTGTAGCTATACAACCTTTTTTCTGATATATTGATGTTCGACCTGAAAGTAGATAAGACAGTAAGATAAGGCCATGGAAGATAAAGATGAAAGACAATATAGGCATCCTATTGACAAAGGAAATGTTTCTGAACATAAATAGATCTTAACACCTAGAGTTCAACCTTATTGAAATTGCCAATAACTTTCAATAGTGAAAGCTACAATAACAAAACTTGTAGCGAGTTCAAGTCACAAATTGTAGCAAGTTCAAATAACAAACTGCAGCAATTACAAATAACAATCTGTAGCAACTACAAATAACAATCTATAACAACTACAAATATCAATCTATAGCAACTACAAACGACAAGTTGTAGAAAGTGAAAAAAGGACAAATTGTAGCATTTATAGCAACTACAGAGAACAAATTGTAGTACAAATAACAAATTGCAACAGTAGTAACATAGGTGAAGCATGTTACCAAGGGGTGAATACCAGTGTAAGTAAAGTATTGACACACGTTTCAGTGTGTTTCTACAAGCGTATTGACAAAGTTTTCATGACAAGCTTGAATTGGTGTGGTGGTCAACAACTGACCAAAGGTTTCTTCTGTCCTGAGTGGTCATTGACATATTTACTCTTGATTGGTCATGTAAAATAAATAAGAAGAGGAATGTGGATAAGGCAATATTTGATCATGTTATACCTTTCTAAACACTGGTTATAACATAAATAATATTAAATACAATCTTTATACTATAAACTATCATTTAAAAATTACTTAGTCAATTACTATCTAATTCTATCAAATTTTCATATAGTTTCTGTGAAAAAAGGAATTTTCAAATTTAAACAAATTCAAAAACATTTCATTCAATTAAAACATATTTTGTCAATTTATTCCGAAAACTGAAGCAATTTTCACAGCCTTGAATCATGACCTAAAAATAAGAGTTAAAATCAGCATCCTGTCTTAATTTTATGAACTTGCCGAGTCACAAAAAACTTTTTAAGACACAAAATACTGCACATAATATGTCCTAAATATTTCTTATCATGTTTTATAATAAATATCTTTTTGCAATGACAAACCTGACATGAGTGTCAAAATTTTCAACCAATTTAAGTCTTAAGTAAATACTGCACTTATGGTGATATTTTTTGTATCAATGTTAGTTTTTAGCCATTTTTTTTTTTGGTTTTAATTTACTTTAAGCTCAGTTTGAAAACATATCAGTATTGGTACCAGTATCACATTTATCAGGTATCTGGATAAGAGATAATGTTATGGTTACTGGTAATCCAACAATTAACAGATTATACTATCCAATTTATCTTCAAGATAAACCATATCACTTTCAAAATAGGCATGATATTATGTCTATAAGTCTGTGTTCTTTTATTCCCAAGACTATTGAAAGGGTTGTTTATATAATTTAAAATATAAACCTGCTTCATGTAATCAATTAATGAATCAGTTTTCTATTCTTACATAGTATAACGTATAAATTCAACAAATTGTGCAAATTTGTAAAATGCATCATGCAAAAAAAGGTGATCATGCAATTAGTGTAGGTTATCACCTGGTTTGAAAACCATAAGTAAATTTTCCCCATAATCAAACCCTTTCAACGATAAATTGTGCAATGTTATCAAATGCTTAATAAATCCTCTTCAGATAAGATAAAAATCTACTCTGTTTAGTTGGTGACAACACTCCGTTGTTTCTTGGTACAAAATAATATTTTCAATTGACAATCAGTCTTATTTTCTTTGTTCACAGTAAGAGATAATAGTTTGTTTTTAAAACTTATTGAACAAGTGAAGAAGAATATCGCTTAATGTGCAATAAGGGAACAGGACAGCATTCATCTGAATTTCCCATTCCAAAAATATGAATGTTCCTTTTCCAGGCTTACCTTAATGGGAAGAAGAAACAACACAAAATGAACTGCAAATATATCTGAGATCAATATTCATCATGAATGATTGATGGAAAAAAGAATTGGCAACCAAATTTGTATAAACAGTCAAATAAATACCTACATTAGTCTTATTTGATTTAATATAAGACTTGTCTCTTATACTAATGTGCCTGCAAGTTACAGATTTTACCCCGATTTTATTAATATTTGAATAAAATTCATGTATTTACATGGACTAATCTTTTAAAATAGAGTAACAATTGATAATTTAACCTAAATAGACCAAACTAATAACTAGAGCTAACTTGTCTTTCATATTCTTACCAAACCACTTGTCATATCTTATAATAGCTTACCCCCATAATAACCTACTATTAGATCAGTAAGATTGGTTTTCATATAACCAGATAACAGTCATAAGGGTTTTTAATTCTCCATTTTCTTTACAGATTACCTTCTATAATAATACCCTTTAGGTCCATTAAGCCCCTCAACTGTCAAGAAAATTAATGTGATTATTCAAGGCTGGTTTAAGGACCTGAAACAAGAGTAGAACAATGTGATTTATGGGAAAAAATCTTATAATTTATATCAAAGTTTATAGAAAATTGAACCCATTTTACACATTTCGTACAGGTCAAATATCAAGATTTTCTTTCTCACATTGTAGAAAAAAGTAAGGATTTTTATAATGGTCACGTCAAAAATTGTAAAAATAGCACCTTTCAGTATCAAAATGTAATATTCAGTTCTCCTTCAATCCAATAAATGGAAGAATGTTCAGATATTATCCCTTATCAACATTCAGGTTAGTGATGACAATGTAAACATCCATGGCACATTTAATTTCGAATTGCATGAGAACTGGAAAGCTACAGGTAGCAGAAATTCCACTATATAGAAACCAGATATTCCCTGTAAATATCTCTTTAAAACTGATTATCTAATGGAGGTTCCTTCTATATTGAAATTGACATAAAAAAAATTATTCTATGATGATTTCCAGATAAAATATTGGACTAAAATAGTAATTTGACTTTCGACAGTTTTCTATACGCTGACTGTTTTCACTACTCATACATTTTCATCTCTGAAATCACCTGATAATAGAGGTGAAATAAAGAGATCATGTCACACCTGAGGCTTATATCCTAGACATTTTATATTATCCAACATGCCAGCTACCTCATATTCTAAATACCTTCACGCTCATAAACATGCAAATAGACAATAAAAAATAGCCATAACTTTAGGGGGTGATGTTCTGAATTTTGACCGGCATAAAAAATGACCTTGTCTGACTTCAATCAAACCACAAAGTTTAGTCAGCCAGTGATATTGTGTACTAGCTTTTTGTCCTGGGCTAACTAAAAACATTCATTTTACATACATCACTTAATCATAGCACTGTGCATTAATTTTGAGTTTAAAAGTGGAAACACTTGGGTACTACTATTTTTGAGCACAGCACAAAGAACATTGTGAATTTGTGTATGTCATATTACATCAAGTTGTCTCCAGCAAGCCATTCTTTGAGCAAGCCACCCAGGACTGATAAATATTCCCAAATCAAGACAGACTTAGTCTCTGGGTTCATCAAATCAACAGACTCAGTCTCTTGGCTAAACCAACATATCTGGCCCTAGCAGTTGCTCATAAATTATATACAAATGGCCAAAACCTGGAGGATACCCACCAGTCCCCTTGGTTCCTACGGCCCTAAGATATTTTTATATTGCGTATCAGTATTGTTCACCCTTCGCATGTGGGCAAATTCAAATCAACATAGTTGTGAATTGACGTGAAAAATATCATATTCACAATTCATAATCAATATTTCAAATTATTCATTTAAAAAATATCCACAGACAATCTCACATTTAGATCATAACTGTATATACTGAGCGTTGTTTTATAAGAGGATACAATCGATAGTCATTTAACTTCAAAGTCAAAAAATTGCATATTCCCGTAGATATTTAGCAAGGTTGGTCACCCATTTGAGCTCTAGGATATTGGTTTTCATATTTAAAAACCCAATGTTTTTAGCATTTAGAAAAAATATTATGAATTCTTTAAACGTTTTTTTAATCATATTTACCAAACTAAATATCATATTGTGTTGTTTAAATTAAATTACAGAACACTTAAAACAAATTAATATACATGTATAATATTTAAGTGACTCAAATTCTCATAAAAAGGCTAATCAACCTCCTTTAGATCCTTAAAAGTTCATTAGGAAATAAACAATGTTTTTGACAGACACTAACACTGTCCAAAAATTGTAAAATGTTGAAACATGGCCTGAGGGGTGAGATTTGGATGTCGGGTTAAAAAGGTGTTGAAAGGACTCAGCAGGACGAGAAATGTCTTTTCATATGTCCATCACTGTGGAATAAGGCATACACTGAAGCATATAAAAACCCTACTCTCTATGATCTATTGTCCAAATATTAACTACTTAATAGGTCTAGGGTCAAACTTTTACTAAACAAAACTAAGCTTTTATTGATCTGTGGTCACCCCTTGCTGTTTATATTGCCACTGGGCTTTAAGGATCATGTTATATAGTCTTTCTTTTATATCTCAACATATCTCACATCTTTTTCTTCAAGTTATTCATCTTACATGGATGTTTTTCTTTGTAACCTTCATTGCTATGTTGGGGTATTAGAAAATTGACACATTGTTACCAAACAGAACATCAAGCACAACAGTTGTCCTTCATTTGAATTTGGGTAAAGTGGTTTTATGCTTAAAATTGAAGGAAGAAATTACCTGCTGGCTCAATTAGTCAAAGCAATTTCAACCAATGAGGTGCTTATGTTTTAAGAAATATCACAGCAAACAATTTAATCCAGCAAGGTCAAGCTGACTCAAATCTTAAAATTTGTAATTTCAAGATTACTTAGATCCCCAAAAATCAGTTTTTTACATTTTAAAAGTCAACATGACAAAAACAAGATAAGTCATATCTAAAATAATTTGAATGTTGATAAATGTTATATTGAGGAGATGTTATCAGTTATAAATAATCTTGATTCATATTAACTTCAAACCTCCACAGACTCACATTTCAAATACCCTGTTCATAATATGTCCTCTACTGGTTGATATAACTCAATTTCAACCATCCATATCACTTTTCAGAATAAAAAACATACTTCAAGCTCTTCAACAAAAACATTCCAAGCGATGTCTGCAAGGATTATCCAATGATAAACACAATAACCTTTAAAGATGTTTTATAAGAAAACAAAAGAAATGAAATTAACACAATGTGAGGAACAGTAAACAGGAAATGTAACATCCATTGTTTTCTTTTTAATATTTATTAATCACCTGAATGTTTTCTTTTCAAATTTAATCCTAGCTCAGAAAAGGTTAATGAGAAAATGAATGCCAACCTTTCTTTCTTACGCAGAATAAAATTGTGTCTCATATCCATTGCTAAGCATTGAAAAAAATACAACACAATATAGATATCTTAATACAACACAATATAGATATCTTATATTGTAGGTAAGTCAATGCTCCCTCAATATCATTTCCAATACCAAAACTAATGTTTGAGATTTGATTTGAATTCAGTCATATTTATGTGCATCATGTTATATAAATAATGGAATTTGATAAAAAATTCAGTATTTTCTTAATCAGAACTTTGATCCGAACCTGACGTGAAGTGGATTGTTAGATTTTCAGTTAGCCAGTCAAAGTGTACAGATCAATAAGATAAATTTAGATTTAGTCTCAATATTGAACAGAAAACAGACATTATCGATTCAGATCTTCTGCCAAAAATTTGTCCTCTGGATAAAATCATCTCAGATATATGAATACTATTACGACAAGATAAGATTTACACCCGAAAAACAGAAGACACAATACACATGATATGCTCTTAAGTTAAAATGAGACTACAGAATTCTTGATGTTGTGGTTTGAAGCTTGGTTTAATGACATTTTGTCCTTCTGCTTTATTTTACTCATACCAATGGCCAGAGACAGCGCCCAGATAAGACACAAGATACTAGAAATCTCAAAAATTATCTCGAGAGTAGATAAGATCAACAAATAAATAAAGCAAGTAAAACATCATTAGCTCTACATTGACCATCCAAACGGGATAACAAATAGTAACAGATAAGTGTTCTTATCAATTCTTTTCATCAATTAGTCAAATAATGAGATTCTAAAGTTACAGTCTACACTTTAAATAGATATTTCTATTTAAAGTTTAATTACTATGGTATCCTAGAGCATCACCCTACACTATCAAAATCAATACAACTACTGTCTCTACATCTATCATTCATTACCAGTCTTACACCAATATTCTACATAATAATATATATTACTCTGACAAGAAGGTCCATGGAAGTTCCTTCAAATTTTTTGTAGCTGGAAATATTAACAATTAAAGACCTATTTGTCATTTTTAGATTCAAAAATCTACAAAAAGCTCATTTGGTGAAAAATGGTATAAAATGTCAATATGATTCTAACATTAGTATCAAATAGAGGCCTGAAAATTAACATGAAATAACACAATCTTAGCAATGGTGCACCAAGCCAGGGGGTTCACAGACATATTTATTTTGTAAGTAAAAATAAAGATTAATTTTCAGGCCTGCATTTGCCACTAATAGTTTTAAAAGGGACAAAAATCCAAGAGGATTGGAGGTTGGAGGATGAGCATACTCAATCTTTATAGCCCTAACAACCACATTAATTACCCAGGTGGGTCAAAATTTTAAAGTCAAAAAGTTTTGTTTAAAATTGAAGTTCTCTGTCTGACCGATACCAACATAAACAAACTTTAGAAATAATCCTTCACCATATCATATATATATAGGTTATAAATAGTTATTCAATATAAATGATGATAATATTCATCAAAATATGAAATTTTAAAACAACCACAGCCACCTAAAAACCTTACAAATAATAACCATGATAATACAACATCAATATGTGACAAATTTCACAAAAAGCTAATATGAAACACCAATATCCAAATTTAATAAAATAACATAACACCATTACATATATGTATGTAATAAAATAACAAAACACCAATACATATCGTGGGTGACCGCTTGAAACCTCGTATAGCGATATATGACGCAAAATTACTTTTTGAAAAAACTATTTTGCGCTTATTTTGTTAAAAATCTTTTTAATCATTTTTGTTACTGCTATACGTGGTTTTCATTCTTTGAAAATATAAACCTTGTATAACAATTTGAGTTCTCCGGCCTATTGAACCAAAAACTCGTATAATAAGACAGTATACAAGGGTTTTCATTGTCATCAGCAGAAAAAGGAACATTGAACCTCGTAAAATAATATATTTTATGAGGCTTTAAATATGACTGTTTATATATGTGTTATTTAATTAGCACTTTTTGAGTTATTTACAATCAAGCTAAGAATACGAGGTTTTACGACCTTTCGAACGGTACCAAATTTTCAAAATGATCGAATATGGCATATACGACGTTTCAAGCGGTCACCCACAATATATGAATGTAATAAAATAACACAACATCAATACATGTGATAAATTAACACAACACCAGTTAATAAATTTTAACACAAAAAACACATTAATAAATCAAATATTATACAACACCAACACAATTATACTTTTAATTACCTTTTACATCTTTAGCATATTTCCTTCTCACTGCGGAAAGAAAAGACAGACACCATTATAAAAGAATATTGATCTAAAAGTCCCTCTCTAAAATCTAAAATTTCTAAAACAATACATTTAAAATGTAATCAACAAGTTTTCTGAAAATCTGAGAGAGAGAGAGTTCTATTGTAAAATCGTTGAATAAAAGTATTTCTAAATTATTGGCATGTACTCGGTCATATTTTATTATCAAAAATATAATTCAAGAACATTAAAAAATCATTTACAGAATGAAGAGAGATAAATACTCTGTAATCAATTGGTCTAATAACATTACATCTGATATGACAACAGATATATCAAACAATAACATAGACAAAAGATAAATAGTGAGAATTTTATCACATTGAAGGTAAGTAATAGTGACAATTACTATTGTTGATAATCTCAAGGTAATATTATGTAACAAAAAGTACTGCTAATATGATAATATAATATCGTAACAGTCTTAGTTGGGAAAGGGATTTCATTTACTTAAACCAGCTGATAGAACTGAATTTTAGCTACCTTTATCAGAATTGAAATATGACAATTGATTCTCTACAATGGAAAACAATAGCAGCCTACATGCCAAAAAGAATCACAGAATGACTATGTTCAATGCAGCTGAAGCTTAGTTCTTTCATCTGACATATCAAATATTTCATTCCCAGTTTTTAGGTATATCATGGCCTAATCTCCATATTCACTGGCAACATTACTTATTATATTCAAGTTGAACTACCAGGATGTGTTATATTGTTACCTTTTAGCCTTATATCAGGACAGAAAAATTTAGTTTATGAATAGAGTTTCAGAATTTCTTTGCATAATATGATATTCATAGATTACTTTTCATTCAATGTTCATACAGGGACATTGTGAATAGTTATATAGAGGTAGGTGTAATATAAGCTATATACTAACAATAAAATATAACACTGTTCATAATTTTATCTTGTATGTATGTATGTTTGAACATAGCACAGAAAGCCTCATATGCAAGAATATGATAATATGGTTTCTCATTTTAATTCATACAACATTTGGTTATTATTTCCTCTCGATATAGTATGGGTCGAGAAAGTAAATATTTGGAAAATTACGAAATAACTACCAGTGGATTATACACCATATTATTTACTATACACAGAGGCATAACTAAATGGACAATGCAGTAATAAATTTAAAATGGTATGAACTATTTAACCGGGTGACGATTTGAATTAATATCAGAAATATAAATAGCCTGTCATTAGAATAAAGTTCTATCAAATCATACTTACGAGTAGGGGAATGTCCAGACACATTTGCAGAGGAATCCACATAAATTTCACCATCCTTTTTCAAACGTAAGGCTTGTATTCCGTATAAAAAAAATTCCTGTAATTTTTCCTGAGGTTGTTTCACATTAAAATATTGTACACATTGATGACAAATAGCCCAAGCTTGTTCCTCATTAATAGGATTGTTAAAAACTTTTAAAATGTCATACAAAGATAACTGATCTTTGACACTTATTTCCAATCGCGACGAATTCGCCATCTTACCATGGCAGTCATGTCAAACTGTATGAAAACCAAACTGTGCGCGTTCACGGTTACTGTCCAATAATTTCAAGGGACATAACTCGTCTGTGATTCAAAAGCACTGGAGGGTGAAAAATCAATAGCCCACATTTAACTGATTGGTTGGATTTTCATTTCTCAAATGTAACAGAACTGGATTATCGCATATTTCATCTGCTTATCTCGAGGAACGCGAACCTAAGGATTAAGGACATAAAAGACAATTGCTATATTTTAATCCTTTTCAATATAGGCTGGGTTTTTAAGTAGGTTAGGGCATAATAACCACATTAAACTAGCCTAATTAAATTCTTCAGATATGCCTTAGAGTAAGAGTATATTGTGTGAATTTTATTGATACAGTTCCAAATATCTATATAGCAGGCCATGAGTTCAAACTAAATTTTAATGGTATTAAAATGTAATAGTGAAAAATTTGCATAAAACAATGACTACTCAGGAGGATGTATAGTACAATAGTATGTCTGTTGTTTCAATTACTCCAAACCCTCATCCCTTCATTCAGTCTTTTTAATGTAGTGCAAAAGAATAAAAGATAAACGACTTAAGAGATAATAGGATTATACATTAAATGAAATTACAGGACCAGCCCCAAACACCATGGGGATAATAGCTGACACCAATTAAAGACCCTCTTAAAATTACTTGTAATATCAAGTTTAAGAACCCTCATCTAGAAATTAGTGACAAATATCATCTGGCAGACCAATAATTTGTTAATATTGATTAATTTCTAATTTCAATACAGATGGTCAATAGTTAAAACAGTTACAGAATTTACCTGTACAGTCCAGCAAAGATATTTGTGCAGACATCCTAACCATAAGCATGAGTCATCCACTTTTTTGTCAGAAGTCAAGACCACACTGGAGGTCTGCCATGCACAGTTTTTCGTCAACATACATATGTAATATTATGCATAGATTCAAAGTAACAAGAAATGTGAGATCAAATTTCAACTTCATTTATCGACTTTTTTGAATCTTTTTCCAAACAATCCAATTTTGTTTTAACAAATCATTTTTTTGTGTATTGGAGACACTGATAGCATCAATTTGCACTATTAATTCCACTTTTGGATCATATGTTTTAGTTTTCTGCAATTCCACAATAATTGCAAGTGCCTTATGTGATAAAGCAATTAATGATGTCTTCAAATACTTAGTTAAAGTGGAATGTTGCAAATTGATGCCATCAGTGTCCCTGATAGACATAAATAATTTAGAAAACCTCTTACAATCCCTTTAAGATATGTTTTGGAGAAAAACTCAGAAATTGTAGTAATCACTTTTTATTATTCCATCTCATTATACACAACTTTCTTTCTATTCACAACTGAAATTGTCAAAATAAACTACATGGATTGGTTCAACATAATGAAATAATGGTTCCATCTACTGACTTCAAATTCACAAATTCAAATTAGCAATTCTTTGGAGAAAAAAAGTGAGGGAAAACTTGATTAAAATAGGGAGGAGAGAGTGGGAGATAGATTTGTATTAAGCCTGTACAAAGTATATACATAACTAAAATAATAACATCTATCTACATAATATGTATGTGTATATCATATGTACCAAATCAAAATGTTGAAATATTAACAATTTCGGCAGTCTTAATAATATCAATAACCATTAAATATATAACCATTTACTATGTTACTGAATGCTGGCACTAGCAAAAACTACGGTACATCAATACAATGAAGTAGCAAAAGCAATGAACATCAGGCAAATTGAAATTTGTGCACATAACCACCGGTGGAAATTATTTGACTTTTGACATAGTAATCTTTCAAACACAAGACCTGTCTAAGACATATATGAGTTATCTCCCATAAAAGCACTACATAAATCTTATTGCACTATGGACTGGTTTAAGAGGAAAAGCAAGCTCAATTTTTCACCTTTTTAACTTGAATTTAAAACAAGAATGAAGAGCATATGCTTTACAGCAGCTAAGACTAAAGTAGCTTACTTTTTTATCATGGATAGGTCAAATTAAGTTATAATATATCTACCTCTAGCATTCTGAACATCTATATTAACTATTACCATGCTTATTTTGATTATAACCAAATAACATTTGGAAGAAGTTTTTCAATATTTTGGTGCATGACAATTGTGCAAAATGTATGTGCAGTCTCGCTTACAATTTTAGAAATTTGTACACTTAATACAGAAAATCAAAGCACCATAAAACAAATTGGAAAGATTGAAATGTACAATTTAATTAGTAAATAGCCATTTCATTGTGTTAGTAAATAATACATAAAAATAATATGTGAAAACAGTGCAACCAAAGAAATTTAGCTTAAATTATAAAGATTTGAACATTTACAATGTTAATTTGACAAGAAATTCATAATAAATATCATTAAAAATATTTGTAAATAAAATAAATATATAATTGTTTACTTGAATATTGAAAGATGAAGAAAGTTAAAAAGCCAAAAAAGGTCTCCCAATTATAATTATGAATGCTGTCAAACTGTCTGACTAAAATAATTAGAATTTAATGCCCAATGGACAACTTGTGTACATAAACTAAAGAAGTCGGTATTAAAGACTATTTATTACATTTTATTGAAATGGTTGAAATTGTCTAATTCAACAATAAAACTTGTTTGAACATAATTATATGTTTTAAAGAAAAGTATTTCAAAAAATAAAATTACATGATCCAAGTTGTGAATACTATATAGGCCTCTTTCTCACAAATTGTTTTAAGACCTCTAGAACTATTGGAACTTAATTTAAAGCAAAATACATAAAGCAGTTATCAAAATAATAGTGATCAGAAAATAAATTTTGTATTGAAGATTGGTGACATTTTCAACGATGTTCTAAAAAAGTCCTTTCAAAATTCTTTCTGATAATGACAGTATCTGTGGGAAAATGGTAAAAAATCTAATTTTAATCTTGATTTCGTGAAAAATTTGGTGTTTACAGCATTCTGGAAATATTCAAATATGACTCTTTTCATAAACTACCTTGCAGTCTTATACACTTCTTCATTTAGTCCCTAATTCTTAAAAGGGAAGCGACTCTCAAGTCTACACATATATTAACTCCCTTAGTAGAATATGCTAATTATAATGGATTGAAGATTAAAGAACAAGTTTACCAATAAGTAAACCTAATATTAGAGCTGCAATTAAATAAACCATAGGTGGCAGCACCAATCCTGTAGCTTGTGTTGATTTTGTAGGTGTTGTTGAAATAGGTGTTGAGTGCACTGTTTCTGATACAGCAACCTTTCGAAGACGTACCCCATCCTCCTGAAACAATTAATCAGAATGATATCACACAAAATGAAAATAAATGATTCAGTACACATCAAAATATCATTACTGCCAGAATACTGAGCGAGTTAGCTGAGTGTTGCCATTTAAAATTGAACGTTTTTTCAAATGGAATAAGTTCAGGGTAAAATGTTCAAAAGCAAGCCTTTAGACCTCTGGCGTCAACAAACTTTCCCCCTTTTATTACAACTTTCTAATATAGTAAATACAAGACAAACACAATATTGAACGAACATTCCACCACAGTATTAGTCTCTCAAATTTTTATGTTCAGTTAGCTTTACTGAATGCATAACATTTTTTATAACAAAAAAAGTTGATATCAGTCATGTGAAACATGTTTGGAACTATATACACTAAATACTGCAAGTAAACAGCTTGAACATTCATACCAATCAAATGTTCTGATGAGGAAGACTTGCCAATATTTACCTTTAACTGATTATTTTCTGTCTTTAGTTGACTTATCTCAGTTTGTAATTTCTTAAAATCTTCCATTAATTTCTTTACATCACTATCACTTCCCGATGGCTAAAAAGCATTGAAAACAATTGATATGAGGCATAAGATATAAAAATGCCAGTGCATTGATGCCTACGTCAAAAACGGCTATTAATGTTATCATCACCTTCTCTATAAAGATTTTTTTTTCATTTTGCTCTTACTTTTACCAATGACCCATTCTAATTTTGATTTCTACCACATGAAGAAATCCAGCAGCTTCCAGCATTGAGATTAAGGAACATTAATTTTAACTTTTAAGTGGGAATAAATAAAATGAAGAAAACAGAATTTGTTTTTTTTAAGGGAGTACTGACTTGCAACTAGCTAACAGTACAAATATATCATTTACCTTCACTGCTGTTTCAACAGGTCTTGGTATTTTAGATTCTGGTACTTCCTACAAAGAGAAAACATACAGACAAGAAAATTCAAGAAGATCTAAGATCAGCAGCTAAGACAATTCTTTGTACAATTTTGAAGAAATTCACATGATCCATGGTAGTGCCAATGATTTTCCTTTTTTAGATTGTTGCATTTTCTGTTCCAGAATTTTCAAATTCCGTTTAAACACCATTTTCATTCGAGAAAAGTGATAAATACTCCTTAATTGATGACAAAAGTCTTGACAAGCAACCCATCATTTTCAATTCCAAAAGTTTCTTTTTGTTATTATACACTTCAACTGGATCCTTTGTGGCCTCTAAACTGGTAGGTGTAGACATGCCCACATAAAAACTACACTAATCAGATAATAAACACTAATGCCTGCCGCAATATTCAACACACTTTTATCCCTCCTATCAGTTGTATCGTCAGAGCTCTAAGATTGAAACCTTGATTCACTCTTTCTTTCCTTTAGAGCATCAATGTGTTTTTCTTTACACTCAGAGTCGGTGCTTGAGGTATAGCCCCTCCAATTCTGCTGTGTTTTATAAGAAATGGTCTCTCATCTTGTTGGTTTTCTCCAGAGGAATATCAGCCAAAGTACACATTTTTACAAAATCCATGACTATAATCTTCTCAGATATCCTTTGAGGACAATATTGTTAATAAGGTTACTTATTTGCGACAGACAAAGCCATCCTTTGCGTATGTTTTTTACTTTTAAAGTGATCTTTCATGGTATTAAGACGAACAAAATCGATTGAAAGATGTTATAGACACCAATTTGGGAACCAGGAGAGTATTTTCTGTTAGAAGTAATTTGATTCGTCAGAATTGTATGTCTAAAGCAATCAGAGGCCTTGTTACAAAATTGGTTGTTCAGTACATGATTAATGAAATCAAACCGCATAGACTTCCGTTTATTTTTACGCTAGTTCTATTTTCTGGCCTGTTTTTAAGCACTAACAAATCTAGAGAACAACGAATCGAGCAGGTTCGACAACCGGAAGTTGAATTATTATATCAGATAAATGTGCTTCAAAACAAGTTCAACCTTGATTTATTTTGTTCTACTTATATTTTCCATTTGCTGAGCTATTTCTTGAAAACAATGGCCAATGTTGCTTTCATAAAACGAAAGTCTTCATGGGAAAGTAATTCTGTTTTCCAGCTGTTGATTTGGCTATAATTGCCAAACATGTTTGTTTGTTTGATAAAAATGTCTTCTTAAAAATAATTTTTATCTCCTAATTCCCTGTCTTTTAGATCATATAATGTTTTCATTAATGTCAAGAAGAAGACCACACGTATTCAATGATCAGGTTTTATATGTATATAAGCAAGAATCAATGAATTCTATGAAAGTCTTGATACTTACTGATTCAGGCATCTCAAATACACATTTCAGTTTTGAATCCATTAAATTTTCTGGAGATACTTCTTTCCACTGAAAAAATGTTATTGATAAGAATGAATGATGGTTCAATTTGCTTTTATTTCAATATTGGCCATCACCCTTTTATCTTTTGCCATCTTACCAATATATAAGCCAACATTTTTCTACATGTTCTTCTAATAGTAACAAGTGGTTGCCTAGCAAGATATGCCCACTTCTCTGATAAATTTTCAGTATATCAAAGGCGGTCGACAATCTGTGTCACATCGTACCAAAAATCTAATTTGTACAAATTTTCATAAAACTTGGACATAAACTGCCAACAAATTTTGATGCATTGAGGCAATAACTCAAAATAGTCAAATTCACATTTGACCCAGATCTCATTGTAATAGCTGATCACACCAGATTTCATAAAAATCTGATGAAACTGTAGTCTCTCTTGTGTTCATAAACGAATTTTGGCGTATTTTGCCAACGTCAAATAAGAAATAACTCGAAAAATCGAAAAATCACCAAATTCGAATTTGACCACAATCTAATCATGACAAATGATCACACCAAATTTCATTAAATCAGATAAAAACTGTAGTCTCTATTGTGTTCACAAACAAATTTTTTTCCTTACTCAAGGGCAATAACTCAAAAACCCTACATCAAAAAATCTTTAAAATCGAACTTGAACAAGATCTTCTGAATATAAATGATCACACCAAATTTCATTAAAATCAGATAAAAACTGTTGCCTCTATTGTGTTCACATGCCAATTTTGGACGGATGACGGACTGACAGGATCAACGACAACATATGACCACATTATAATGTGGGCATATAAAAATATAAATGCTAAAACTAAAACAGAAAAGAAATGATGACGTACCAACTGTTCTTGATTTATAGGTCCTTCAGGAGCAAATAATGTTTGTACCATAAACTTATGCTTATTTGACTTCTCTGTGGCATCATATTCAAATGGTTGTAACATAACTAAAAGTAAAATTAATCAAAGGTAATGAAATAATTAATGAATAAAAGAATACCTCGGCCTGTTTTTAAGAACTAAAAATTACATGATTAGTTAAAATTATTCATTGGAATACTTAGTAATAGCATTGTGAGCAACTTATTCACTTGTCCAAGAGCTCAACAAAACAACAATCATAACTTCAAATGAGTTGCATAATGTACATATTGTATGTCTTTTCTTACCAGCCACTGTAATGCTCGCTTTTGGTTCTAAAATACCACTGTTTGGTCTGACACAGTATCTCTTGGGAGCTGTAGTTTTCACTTTGAAACATACTCTTTTATCTGATGGGTTTGTTAACTTTAAATCAGCAGATATAACATCTGTGAAGGGACCTGAAGTAATAGAGGAAAAAATTATATATTTCAGTCACTTAATATTTCATCATACCACGATACAATGGTTATGATGCGTATTGCAATATGGGGTAATGGGATAAAATATAACAATTTAGTTTCAAAGTTACAAAATATAAACTAATCTATAATTTTATACTGTTATATTTGGTTACACAACCTGGCAATATGATGTATCGTACCAGCACTAATCAGGAATCAGATAAAAAGGTAACACTTTATCTTAACAGCTTCAATGATTTTTTCTTTTTGTATAATCGTTAAATAAAATAAAACTGAATATCAATACTACTAATTTATTGATGATATAGGCTCACTGCTTTCACATTTGCATTCATGAATAGAACTTTTCCTTTTGCATTTTAATGACACTTAGTGTTATGTGTATAGATGTGTGATTGGTATGCCTGGAATTGTACAGAATTGGTACAATGAGCATATTGTGGCATTCACATAACAGTTCAATGCCAGCACTATTTCTATATCAACAAATCGTCAAATACGATTCCATCTATAAAGAGTTGTAAGCGTCAAAAGAATAGGAAATGAGATTTGTTGTACAGCAAAAAATAAAAACAAAAAATACAAAAAAAAACAAAAATTAAATTGACAATATTCACTTCTTATATCAAATGTATCTTATCTCTATATTCATGCTGTCAATCATTATACAGAAACAAGAGAATAGATTGACCTAAACTGAAAAGAAGCTAGTCAAATTCATTAATTATAAGAATAGGAACATAGTTAGAGTTGAATAGCCATAATTTATTGATCTATTAATCTATTATTATATAATATGGGAACAACAACTATTGAATCAAGCTAGCACCAGCTATGGTACACAACAGTATCTGAGCTGTTCCTAGGCAACATGCAGCCAACATCAATATAAGTAAGATACTATAAGGATAAACTGATACATTTTGAAAGATAAAATAAGGTTCACAACAAGACTGGACTGTTTGTATCCAAACAACAGAAAAAGGGTTTAATAATGCAACCCACAATCATCACATTGGTTCATTTAAGTTCTTCAATATGATCGGCAGAAAGTAGACTGAAAAGTTTTAAAGAAAGATATAATTAACTTGATACAATATTCAACTTTAACATTAAGACACAATTTAAATCAAAAGTGCTCTATTAATAAATAAAACCTTCATTTCAATATGTAAAAAAGTAACAGGGCAGGATTCTCTTGTCAACTTTGATTTGACTGTTTCTCATGTTTCTGTCATTCACTTATAGTTTTTTAATATTAATATATATCCAGCACAGTGAATAGAAAAGAACAAATTGACTAGTCTACATCACTAAATTGTGATAACCATTTGTTTTACAATGTTTAACTGGTAATAAATCAAATATTCATGTCAAACCAGCAGTTCACAGATGAAAAGTAACTTGTTCTAGAAAACTATTTTTATAATTCCTACTAACACTGGGCTTGTTATAGGTTTATTATGACTCATACAGTATAATTCTATTGTAAATCAAATATAAATACAGTGTAAAAGACTAACAGCTGGAATATATTGTCTTATAGTAAATGGATTGACTATCAAGCACTAGTATAACCATACTGTACTATAAACAGCTTTTTCAAAACATTGTTAGTCAAGGAAAGTCATTAACAACTTCAAAGAGAACAAAGAAAAACTATAATTTATACATAATCTATCCAAAGGAGAAACCTATAAGCTTATATAAGTTTATCTTATGTAGGTTTTGCGATGGTGACAACATAAAATGTCGATAATTGGAATGGTGCAAATTGATACACTTTAAAATCCTTTTAGGTTGATACTAAATAAAAAATAACAGTAAATACCAGAAATTTTCAATGAAAATTTCTCAATTTTTGCCTAAAAATTTGCCTAAAAATTTTTGCCTACAGGTGTCAAACAAAATTCAGAAATAACAAAGAGAAGGACTCATAGCAACATCTTGCCTTCCAAAAACAGAAATAACTATTAATCCAGGACTATTCGTAAGTCATCATAACATTTTTTAACCTAAAAATTATAGATATATTAGACATCTTTTCGCAAGAAATTAGCTTCATAGTTTGCAACACTTTGAAATAATAGCATTTTTAAAATTCCCTTTCAAAAATTTCAATTTTTGTAATATCACTTTAATTTAATTTTATCTTTAATTGAACAAATAGGCCATGTGACCACCATTTTCAGTACAATCTGCTCATAGATCTTCCCATAACAGAATTATCTTCAGGATTTTGCCATGTCATTCATTCCATTAGTTCTTAATTCTATCTTTCAGTTCCTTTCCTTGAAGAAAGTAATCAGTAAAGACTACAATCTTTGGGATTGCAATCGGGAGATTGGTTTGGTCAATCGTATTGAAGTTACGGGTAGGATTTCTTGGGTAACCGGGTCTGATTTGAGATGATCAGTTAACCGTCAATTTTATAAGAAGTTGAAAGAAGGCACTTTGACAAAAAACCTTTCGTTGATTTTGTTGATTGAATAATTGAGAGGTTTATCATTATGAGGTATCAATTATCATAATGCGTGTTACGTTGATTTTTGTGGTCAAAGTAATCAAGATTGAAACCGTTAATTTGCGAGATACTGGTCCAAACTAGACTAGGTACTTAAAGTTCAACAGGCGCTACACGATACTATAAGCTTATATAGCTCTGTGAACGAGTTACATTCTTCTATACGTTTTAAAATGCCACTAGCAATAGTTGTTCGACCAAACAAATTTCATGGTAAAAATTTTTATGCGAAGGACGATCAGACATTGTTACATTGATAGCTTGATAATTGTGATAAAAGACTAAACTTGTTGAGTAATTAATCGGGTAACAATAGTCGAAAAATTAACAGGCTCGTCAAAATCACTAACCGTTTCAACACTATTGGTCATGTATCTTTTTCTATCAGATATGCCAAATTCCTTAATCTGGAGGCAATTTGCTCTTGGAAAAGTGCATGTGGGTAGTTTGTGCTGAAAATTGTGCTCACATTAACTATTTGCACAATGATAAATTTCTGTGTTGACATTTTTGCAAAGAAATTTGAAAAATGCTGCCATTTAAAAGTGTTTTGGCCTATGAAGCTAATTTTTTGTGAAAAGATGTCTGGAATACCGTATCTCTATATAATTACAGATACCATATACAAGACAACTTTTGAAAGGCACATTCCGCTTTTTTTGTGAAAACTATTATCCAGAATCTAAAAATCTAAACTAAAAATATCCGTTAACACCGAAACTTTACTTTAAAAGTTACGTAACCTTTTAAAGTTTGTTATGCTTTATGCAAGCTGCACAGATTTGAGTAAAAAAAACGCCTTATTGTAGAGAAATATGTCTACTACATTTTCTAAACGTTTCAACTAAATATAATGAGCCATTATAAAGCCAATCACTGACACTATATTCAGGTATAACGTACGACGTTTTTGATAGTGAAAATTTTTTACCAAAAAAGCCCAATGCAACCTTTCAGAGGTCAAAGTATTATCATCTTAGATTGATAAGCTTGCTTTAAGAAAAATCCTGTAATGAAAATTGTTATCGTTTTTTTCTGGGCCACCTGGTATATCGTAAGCTAAGATTTAGAAAACATTCAATCATAACTCAAAAAGTAACATCTATAAACTAAGCTCTGTAGAATATACAAAATACCTAAAGAACGTCGAAAATGTACAACACAGAGCAATAAAAATTGGGAGAAGTTTTTCCACAAAACATACCCCGAACGACTCATAACGCTTGGCCTACCAACGCTCGAATACCGTAGAAAAAAGTTTGACTGTATCCAGGTCTACAGGTTTCTTAATGGAATAGAGAATCCTCCAAACCAAGAACTCATCCCCAAATCAGGACTTGAGAAGACTAGAGGCCACGGTCAAAAACTTGAATAGCTTAACTACAGACTCGACATCCGCAAGCATTTCTTCTCATCAAGAGTGGTTAACAACTGGAACTCCTTGCTCGAATATGTTGTCTTATCTCATACCATAAACCAATTTAAATCTGACCTGAACAAAATACGGAAGTCTGACAACATTAAATTCAACCCCTCCACAATGCAGTAAATGAAAAGAACCAAGCGGTATCCAGTTATAACGGAAAGTCAAAATGGTAACAGATCTTCCAAAACGGAAAACAAGATATTTAAATTTGTAATGGTTATGACTTGTTACCGTTTTAACTGGTAATCAACGAAACCAACCCAAAACTACTATTTCCTCTTTTTTTTACGAATGCGCACATACCAATATAATAACGAGGTGATCTAGAAGCCTTAGTGCTTAATACAGATTAAATATCAGGTAAATCAGGTAAATAAAAAACTTTTTTCATGCAATGGTATGGCATTACCATCAACTATCTTCCACGATGTTTACAGAATAGCATTTTGTCAATTACTTTGCATGGAATGTAAAGTCAACCCTGATTACTACTGATCGTCTTTGGGTTAATGCAAAATGAAAAAAATTGGCAACATGATTGAGGATACAGAATGGAACTTACAGTTACAGGACAATTATATGATTGTGTCTATTTCATGGAAAATTCATAGAAAATTTGCATATATAGCCAATCAACGACAATGCCAATAGCATGCAATTTAAAATTTATTTTGAATATTTATGATGTGACAGAAAAATTCAATTCTGAGCTCACTTTGATCAGAGAGTAAAAATACAGTGCAAACCCAACAATGCAATCACAAAATTTCAAAATGAAGCTAACAGCAATCACTATCAGTAATAGTAATGGTATGGCATATTGACATTGCCCATTCTGTTCACCTGTCTGTGGGGTAAGAAAATTCAATTGTATGAATTGAATTCATTGGCAGATTAAGGCAAATATAACTTTGATAATAGCAGTCGACACTAACAAAAGGAATATAGTTATGACGGTCAAAAGAAGACTATGTTGTTCAAGGATTTGGAATAGGTTGGTGATAAATGGTCAATGACATGTTGAAAAGGATGAGGAGACGTCTGACGAATGAATGAAATCCGGTCCGGCGGCAGATTCCAGAATATCGTGATTTATTTGTCTATCACCTTCATCATTGCTTTTACCTTTGAAACGTAATTCTGTTGGAGGTTCCAGCAACAACACCTGCTCAGTTTTAGCCATGTCTGAACTTTGATAATACGAAATAACACCCTTTTTATGGGAAAAAATACATTAATTCTTGCATCTGCCGTTCTGGAATCGTGGATTACACATGCGCAACTCATTCATTATCAAAACGAGACAGTCGCTGTAAAAAAATGAATTTCACTAAAATACGAAACGAATTTAAAATAAACAACAAATTAGTACACTGATTTTCTAAAAGCAAAAATATATCATGTTTTCATATATACAGCAAATAGAATAAAAAATAAACAAACTGAAATTCATTATCATCAGCCGATCTTTTATATATTTTTGCGTTTCTTGTCTTGGCATTGTAAAATGTAGACTTTTCTTAGAGATGTGTAAATAATGAACAATGTTTTGATTTTTTTTTATTCTAGTTGTTTCATAGGCACCATACAATTATGGCTGATGACATCGATGACTTGTTAGACGAAGTTGAATCTAAATTTTGTGTGAAAAAGAATCAAGAAACTAAACCGTTGGACGTCCTTAAACAACAGAAACAAAGGCAATTGATTTATCTTGATTAATATGAATTAGTCCGAAACATCTATCTCTATTGCAGCCTTGGATAACTATTTTGTCAGTAAAGTAATCTGCAGGTGTTGGGTCAAAAAAGTTTTTGCCCTGTTTTATGTGGATTTATCTGTAACTCTGAAGGTGCAGGGTTTTTAAACAAATTTATTAACCTTGAATCCATCAGCCCATAATGTGTTTTTCAGAAAGATGGTTATTTTTCTCATACAGTCTTCATCAGTTAGTAGGCCAACATCATTTATGTCAGGACACATCAGCAGTTCAATCAAAGCTGTTTATATTAAAACCAATTTCTTGCTGGCTATCAAAGACTGAGAGCACGGAGCGCAACCAAGGATCAAGGGATCGTGATACTAGCAAAACGAAATTAACGGTGAATTGGTGATGCCCCAACATCCAGCAATCCCTAATCTCTTGTAAAATAAATCCTGACCCCCAGAGAAGGGAAGGGAAGCTGTCATTGAATTCGAACTTCAGTGATTTCAGGGGTTTTAGTACAATAAGTTTGGTGAAGCTTATAGATTTTCTGTATCTAACAATATGATGTTGACTATTGTAGAAGTAGGCCAAGAAGTAATCTAGAGGAAGATGTGAATGATATTCTAGAGTTAGATATTCCTACAGTTGACAATAAGGTAAAAAGTTTTTAGTTTGAATGTTGCTTGTACCGTATACAACAAAATTATTGTTAGCTATGAAGATACACAAAGTAGGATGAATTAGCTAAAATTTGTTCTTTGTGGAAATTTCTGGGTAGATACTTTGATGCCCCTCTTCACAATGTCAGGCTATTATGAAATCAAATGATTGCATACAATTTCCTCCAAATTCAAATTTGATCTTTTTTTAGACAAATTACAGAGAAAAACCACAAAGTGTTTCAAAATCATCCTCATCCTCTTCATCTAAAAAGTAAGTAAAAACCTGATGATGTTGATGTTCCATGAGCAGCAATTATATCTCAATGCTAAAGACTTGTTAGAAAACGAAATGTTTCTAGTAGAGTCAGATCTAGATTTTGCTTCAAATATGTATTCATTTTAAAAAACTTATTCTGTTTCTAGATGTTTTCCAGTGTACGTAGGAGGTTCGGTTAATGAGAAGGGATTCGGAAGTAGTGTGAATCAAAGGTAAAATATGTATATTGAAAATCACATTTGGAATAAGCTTATGTGATTGTGAATAAAATCATCCAAAATTTGAGCCTCTGTGATGTAATTGTGAAGTATAAATGGCATAATTGTGAACTGTTGGCAATGTCCATCATCATAATTAGGAGCAACTCATTTCATTTCTATCAAGTTATATTAGATTTATCTCCCTTTAATTACAAATTTTTATCTTCCAGAATATGTGATAGTTTACGATGTACTTCATGTGATTTTAAAGTAACCATATTTCCTGATTATGAATGGCATAGTAAAACTGATTATCTATTTCTACGGAATAATGCTCCAGATTTTCGAAAATTGAAATCAAACCTGAAGAAAGTCAATGGTAAGGGTTAATTTTTGGAGGTATTAAAATATAGAAAGTTCCTCTTTTTTCAAGAAAGTTCACTTAGCTTAACCTAATTCTCCATCTCTGGTCTTCAACATCAACAATTGACAGATTAACTGTCTGATATGTTTCAAATTATTCAGTTTTTGTGTGATGGAAACTCTTGTTATAGGTCAGATAGTCAGAAGTTCAATGACATGAGTGATCATTTCCTACAGGTTCATTTAATGATTTAATTTTATCTTTTCAGGAGTAAATGCATATAATTGTCAGTGTAGCTGGAGAAGTTTTAATGATCTCACAGAATTGAAGGATTCTAAACTAAAATGGGTCTGTGGAAAACATTCCTGATGTATAGTTATTTGGATGATAGAGTATCAGAATTCTTATTGCCTCTATTTTGATTCAAGAAAATATTACATTATCTACCAACTGTATTTGTAATACATATATACATTAATTTGTTTAAATCAAACATTTATTATTTAAATAGTTAAAAATATACATGTCCCTAAATTTAAATATGCACGTATATTTAAATTTATTTTATGAAATAGTTGTTCCGTCCATCTAAGATCATCTTCCTTGTTCTTTGTGAACTGAGATAAGGGCAAGTTTTGGCATTCTTATGAAAGAAGCTACACATAATTAACTATTACTTATACTGATGTAGTTGTGATAAATGAATGACCCATACACAATGTGTTCACAATTTACTTTTCATTACAATCTTGGGCTGCAATCATACTACATTGCTTTTTCAAGTATTGAATGCACAAAGTTGAGGTATATATATTTATCTTAACTTGTTCCAGTTGCTTAAGGTATTATTGCAGCTCTGTTGTAGTTTTATTTCACCTTGACATTTTGAAGTTGAATAAATTCACATCTGATAAAATAGTTGTATTTTCTACAATCTGTATTCTCCTTAAAGGATTTTGATAGCAGTGAAACTCCTGGAAGCATGTAAAGACATCATAAGAGTCTATTTGGATGTGTAAATGATTTACTTGAATTGTTCATCATATTAAGTGACACCATTAACCATTGATATTACATAGGGTTGGGAATGAAGGATTTTAGATGATCTCATGTTTTGACTAGTGCTCTGAAAAGATCATTATACAGAACACATTTTGTGGTGGCTGCTTTAATGTACGAAGTAGAGTAGGTATGTGAAAAATATAGTCACAAGTAATCATGCCAGTAAAAGGGTCACAATTTTTTGTATTAAATCATTTTTTAAAAGATTTATACAGGAAATATATCTAAAGAGAATTACAATGAGCTAATAAAACATATGTAAAGCAGAATATATTTTGCCACAAGTATCCTTAACTATCATACCGAAAATTACTGTTAAAATTTTCCTCACCATTTAATTCTTTTATTATATTTAGACAAATTTGCTTAAAAATTAAGAGTCCACCTGCATACATCTGACATTTTACATCATTTTAGTTAATGACAGCCATTAAATTTGCCATTGTAAGAAGCTCCATGAACACATGAACATCTTTAAAATATTGTTTGTATTACTTTATACAGATAGTTACAACCACCATCATTAGTATTTCCCTCTTGTGATAGATTTATACTTTGGAGTATGGTACAAATTAAGTGTTAACTGTGTCTTTGAGAGAGGAATTTTCATTATTCAATTCACCATACCAACTCTCATATATCCAATAGCACTGATAATTTCGCACTGTAGTAGCTCTTTACGTTAAACTGAAAAATAACAGACAAATTTCTTTAAGGTTTGAAGATAAAGAAATAAACCATTTATTACTGTCTTAGTCTGTAAATCTAATTTTGCCTCCTATTTTCATTGGAATTTTAATATCAATGTGATAGTCTTACATTTATAATCTTTACATTTATAAAGAAGACACATAACCTGGGCACATATCATTTTAAAATTTTTACAGATGGCAACTTTCTATCGCTACCAGTACTTTCCAGGAGTTGATATTCAAATTCACTCAAAATAATCCTTAATATTAAATTCACTGATAAAAGTAAGATGACAGATGTGCACATTTGTTTTTTAGGCAAGATTGATAATGTATTTGAAATGATTCATGTACTCAAGTTACAAGATAAGGTCAAGGGGACATAATAATATTATCATACCTGTCCAGTAAAGAATCTCTCATTTCTGTTTGTATTTTACTGGGTTGATTGTCTCCTATTTTAAATACACTCTCTATAACTGAGACTTCTGTAGCTGTTGTATCAAGACCACAAAATGCTATCCAATCATTTACCACTAATCCACCACCTAACACGTCACTACCACGATTTACTGTACCAGCCTACATATAGATTAGAAAAAAATGTGTCGTGTAAAAAGGTATTTCAACTGATTTCCATGATATCATGCTAGGAAAACAAATGTGGTATGAAATTTTCAAAACACATCAGGTTGAAAAGAATTAGACCCTTTTTATACCCTAATTGAAATTGATGGCCATTACAACATGAATAATTGACATTTAAGATTGTTTTGAAACTGAGTCTGTTTTCAATGGTTGATGTTTTGCTCTCAACCAGATAAGCAAATTCTCAATGGGGTGCTTTATTTCATAGAGTAGATATCTTTCTAAGGGATCAAAGTATAGCTGTCATCTGACTTGTACACTTCTGTTACATAGCCTCACATATGATCTTATTACTATTGATCTGAACGGAAGACTATGTTACTTTGAATTAGAGTATTCAAAATCTAATAACATAAAGTGCATAAGTTCAGACAATAATTCTTGATAAATACATAATCCATACTGATAAATTAACACTTACCACTAAAGGAACTTGTAATAATGATGACAATTCATCTTGGTCTGCCATATTTGTTTTAGGATGTACCTAACGTAAAAAGAATTGCTACAGTATTTAAAGTGATCTTTTTTGGATATTTTTAGGGACAGATGTGCCATTTTGTTTACCAATCATTCTTTTGTCTCAGAAACGGAAATTTTTAAGTAAGCCAAGCAGTCATAGTGCTCAGAGCACACCGTCAAAATATAAACCTTCAAATCCTTGTGTGACCAAAATTATCTGCGCTTGAATGTTAAAATGACGAATGAAGACTATATATAGAAAAGACATTTATAGAAATAGTGAGTACAATTCCTAGTTTTAAGAATCTTTATAGGAATTTTTTGATTTTCTTACATTTCTAGTACTTCTGTAAAGGCTATTTACATATATTCAACCCACAAATCAACCTCCCAAAATGGTGAACATGTCCCTTTATATGATATGATGATATAGATATGATAGTAAGACATGATATAAATATGATAGTAAGACATGATATAAATATGATACTTACTAAACCACCCTGATTACTAAATGTACAATAACTACCAACTAGGGCATTACTAGCTACTGTATGTCGAAATACTTCAACTTTTAAAACATCAGTAATTATTTCTTCTGTTTCCTGTCAAAACATATTAATACTCAAAATAATCAAATAAGAAATCAAATATCAATAAAATCTACAGTTAAAGATGCTATACACATGTTGTCCAATTTGTAATTTTATCAATAAATAAGTCTATAAATCTAATAATAACCAGTTTGTAATCATTAATACACAACAACAATATATCAATGTAACAGCTCAAGATAAAAATTCATGTTTCTCATACTCTGGAATGAATATGTTTTAAACCTATGCTAGCAAATGGCATCCACATTTCTTATGCTTCAGTTTTATTTGAGTATGTCATAGAAACATAAGATTTACTCTGTTGACATATGACAAAAATTGTGCTAAGTTCCTTAATACAGGTACATTTCAATTTAGAGTATTAGTTTTATATTTCAAAACCATCAATCAGAAAAAGTATGAAACTTGTAAATCTGGTGATAATACCATGGTAAGTATGATACTGGCAATACTAAAACATATTGAAAATATCTCTGTACTAACCCTATCTAAGTCTGGATGAACTAAAGCACAGTAGTCATTACAAGCGATTACATTACCAAGAGCAGATAACCTTTCTTCTACTCGCTGCAACTTAACAGAATCAGGTAATGAATTTCGTATGTGCTGTAATTCTTGATCTGTAGTGGTATTTGGAACTAAAAGACCATGGCGATTTCCTGAAAAACAAAAGTATTATATTACAAATTCTTAGTATTTACCGATGACTGAAGATGCCTAAATTATGAACTAAAAAAAAGGTCTACATTATATATTTACCTCCTAATGTATCAAGCAAGAAAAGAAATATAGTCACAACATTTTTTCGTTTGAAAGTCTTTCATTCTTTTAACCCTTTCAACACAAGCTGCCACTCTACATCGCACATAACTATGAAATATACATGATAGGCCAATAACCAAGTGACATCACATAAAATAATATACTTTGTGTCATAGTTCAAGGAGTTGAGGGCGTATTGCTGTTTATTGTATTCAAACTCAAAGTTCAGAAGCTAAAGTATAATTTTGACTTAAAGCCTACAAGTAATTCATGATGTTTTTAATTTGCAGATTTTGCTTTTCTTTCAATAAAATGATATACTAACCTACTGTGAGACGACCTACAATACGACATCCTGCAATACTAGCATGAACTACTGGAATAGTTTCACCTAATTCTCCTTCAAATATACTGAAATTGAAAAAAAGTTCACATGATGCTAAATAAGAAATATAATTTTTTATTAACACATCCGATGGTTGAATTTTGTACAATTCTATAATGATATAAATTTCTAAGAACCTGTAGAAGTTTTCTGAACTCCCAATTCCTATTAAACAGTAACCATTGGTCAATTTAGTAAAGTTTCCCACTTCAGCTGATCCGTTAAAATGTACACGCAAGGCCATAACTTCCAACTTAGGTAGTTAGATTAAATTACGTTTATATAGTGTAGTTAGAGTGGGGTGAAACTAGATTTGTTCCCAGTGGTGAAATAGGCCCATGTCATACACAGGTCAAAGAAAAAACATTGCACAACACAATGAAATAGTTCATTTGGATTCATCCAAAAGAGGCATGATAAATACCATTGGGTTTCATATATCTAAATATAGAAAAACTCTGATTTCAAGACTAATGATGTAAAATTCATACATGTACTTTTAGTATAAATTACTAGATTTATTGGTTATAATTAAGACAACAGTAATAAAACTAAAAGTAAAGAACAGACAAAATTTCAGACAGAGAATTGGCACCTGTAAAAATTTTCTGCTCCCCCAATCGCCACCAAGCAATATGCATTTGTCAGTTTAGAAAATACACCAATTTCATTGTTCCCTTCAAACTGTGCTCTGATAGCCATGATTAAAGTATTAATGACTCTTAAGAATATAGATTTAACTCAGATAAATAGTGAAAATGTTTCGTAAACAAATAAGCATGGCAAGTGATGCGCTCTACGTCATCAAAATTTGCCTTCGATTTTCTGTCTGGATAATTGGGATAACCACAAATTAAATAGAGTTACATCCCTTCGACTGCGAATGTTAAAAAAAACTTGTTAAAATATAGGTGATGCCGAATTTCCTTTTATCTCTTTTAATTATTTACATGTTTGAAGTATGTCACATCGTCAACAGACACTGATATTCAGAGTAACCCTCTGTGTTATATAAGACTACTGTCATTAGAAAGAAACGTGATTTCTTGTTGTAAATATGCTAATTTGTCTAAATTAAAAGTGTGTCTGAGATTTGCCAACCAGCATCCCCCACCACATATTCAGCTCTGTCAAAACAAATAACAGTAACTCCAAATAAGTCGTTTTGAGAAAATGTTTTAGTGAAATGGACTACTATAAATAATTAATTTTCATATAGTTCAGTATCTAATTGATCTTCTTTTACCTCCCAGGAACAGTGAAGACAGGAAGGCCAAAATCTTAGAGTTCTTAGAGTTAGATATTATATTGTGTAATAATTAATGTAGTGACTTAAATCTGTCATTGAATACAATGTAAAGAATAAAAAATTATTGGATATTTTTAGATAAACAGAACATAGTAATGCAGTAACTGTATACTATTTAAATCATTATAATCTATAACTAAGAGTTTTTGTTAATGAAAATGCCAAACATCGAAAAGATTTCTTATATGAAATTGGTCTGAATATCTGCCTCTGGTCCTTTTGAAACATCAAAGTTTTATTTTAACTGATTTCTCGCCAGCTATCAAAGACTGCATATGCAACCAAAACTCCAAGGGTCACATGTTACTAACAAAAGGAAAGTAGCGGTGATGAATATAGGCAGATATTTCGGAGTACCTCTATCTTATTTTATGTCATTGTGAGAGAAAAGCAGTAAGCCAGTCAAGTATATGGTATCAGATTTATCTCAGAAATGGCATAAAAATACTTCTTGTCTTGACAGATTTTTTTGTTAAATTTCAAGATCCAAGTTTTCATTTGTCCTTAGTAGTTATGAACTTAAAGATGGGTTTCCTTATTTTTTAGTGTCAAATTAAGCAAACTATTTGATTAATGGGTATTTCTAATGAGTTATCATGTATAGATCATTATGTTTTCATATTGCATGTAAATTAAGAGTTTTAGCCAATCGTATATCGTATGTCCATGTATGAACAGTCTGGATAAACAAATAAAGTCTTTTTGACCTTTCTTGATCGGTCACTCATTTGAATTCTGTTGGTAATTCTCTTCTAATTTAGCTAATTATGAATTGATTATGGACATGTAAGACAAGCAGGTATTTTTCCAAGTCATTAGAACACCTCTACTTTCTATTCATGTAAGTATTAGCATTTTCATTTTCATAAATGAAAATAAGGGAACCCATCTTTAAAAATCAAATAGTGTTTTTCCTTAGCTAGATAAATGTCCGAAGAATTTGATTTCAGTTTTCTGTGTGAGAAAAAATAAATTTGATAGATTGAAAGATAAAGTGAATGAAGGTCAATGGTCAAGTTTCTGGTGCAACAATACCCATAATGATTGTCAATAATGTGAAATATTGTGTTTTACAGGTTAAATGTGTGATTGATAAGCCTTTGAACTAACTCAGCATGGACGCAACACACTTGGCCCGCCTACGTGAAGAACAAGACAAGGCTATAGTTGAGACTGATGAGAGAATTACACAATGGTTAGTTCAAATCTGTACAAGTTTCCAACAGTGTTCAAATTACACAATATAAAACATTGGATGACTGCAGGCTAACCTTAAAGCCACAATTAAAGTTGTCGCTCATCTAACTTCAATTCTAAAACTCATTTACGACTAGTTTATTGTCAATTTCCTTTCATTCGGATTTCTATGTCTCATCTGACTTTTGACAATTATATTTTGAAATTGAAGTATTATCTCCTTAAATGTAAAAGGAGCCATTGCAGTGCACCATCAAATGAAAGAGGATATTTCCCAGTAGAATCAGTTTACAGATTTATTGTTATTTCTACTGCTTTAGAGCATTTGAACAATACAAAGTTATGTTTTCTCTATAATTTTTCAATCAATAATAATAATAGTAAATTGAATACATTATTCAGATGAAATGACTGGTGGTAATTTCTCATATATCAGTTTTATTTCCAGATTTCATGAGATAACAAAATATGATAAGCATTATATAACAAGTTATATGAGCAAGTTCAGTAATTGTTTTACTGAAATCTCATTCTTTCACATGCTTTCAATGATGATAGTTTTGATATCTTGTAAATAGGAATGTGGTTGTAATTCAAATCATCTCAATACAATATCTTTGATAAACTAATAATCATCATTTTTTATCAACCCATAAATAGGAGGATATGATATCATCACCCATGTCAGTCTATCTAACTTTATGACAACAATTTCTTGTAAGAGCTCCAGAATGCACAATTCTTGATGATTTATATCACTCAAGGATGTTTGAAGTGAGCTTTTTGTTCTTTCAAACTTGTGGTGCCTAAGAACTTAACTATCACTGGCATTATCACAATAATATTTGTAATCTTGATAAGGTTTTCTTTCGGAACAAGAACCACAGACATCACATGGGATATATGAATTGTGCAATAAAAAGTTAGAAGTGTCTTTGATACGCATTAATGATCTCTAAAAAAAACTGTTTCGAAACCAATGAAGTAGTAGTTGTTTTTGCATGTTAGCAGGACAACAGAAACTACAATATTATACCTAACTTTAACAGTAATGATCATTTTTTCTTAAACACAAATGACCATTATATAAGAGAGTTGATTGATTAAGCACAAAAGAAACTATGAAATGGGTTCTAATTTTTCATGTCCATTTCACCTCTCATCAAAACATGAAATTAATGATCTTTTAAGGTTTAATGTTTGCCAAAATGTCAAGTGATTAGTCTAAAAGATGGTGTATTTTTAAAGAAATGTTATGAGCTGTAAAGAGATTTGATTAATCTTGGATGATTTTTCACTTTGCTTTAATCCTATTTGTTTAAAACACAAGATAAAAGACTCAAAGTGACCGTTAGGATTTGATGTCCTGTTGTGTTATGTTTTTAGAAGAATTGTAACCTTGTCTAAATTGATAACGGGTATTTTTTTTTACTGTTTTTGTTTAATGGACTATTAATCATTATTAGAAAAGTCAAGGATTACAAATAAAATATTCACTCTATTTCATTAATGATATTACACCACTCAAATATAACTGCCCTTTTTTATTGCATCATGTCTGTTTCAACTCGTGAATAAATTTTCAATATGAAAATTCAGTTTAGTATGCTCATGTTTGAAGTAGAATCTTGTAAAAAAAATTAAGATTCACCTGTTTCCTAGATAGTTGCAAAACTATAGGCCTAAAAAAGATCAATTTGACATGGAATGAAATTCAATGAATCTGGAGGATAAAGAACAAAAACCTCTAATGACCATTTTGAATTATGGTGAAAATTAACTTTGAAGAGTAGATTAACTCTAATATACATCAAGATGGTTAAAGCTGTTTTATTGTTACTTGGTATTAAATGTTATCACTACAACTAATTCGACAGAGAATACAGTATGGGTAAAGGTCTGTTTAAAATGAGATTTTATCTAGATCTTGTTGATGAAGCATTAAAAAGTCATCTCAGTCAGCCTAAAATTAAAGGCAGGTGGCTTAGGTTGCATCACTAATGGCTTCTCAAAAGATGCCTGCCTATACCCTTGATTTCTTAAATTTGTTTTAAATGTTTTATTTGACTTTGACTCTTACATTCCATTACATCACTATGCTATTTTTTTACTTTTTTTGTATGGTTTTAGGGAGGAGATGAAAAGTAGTTATGTTAGCCTCCAGGACAAGCTTAATAGTCTATCACATCAAGTCTCTCATGATGTAATGGTAAGTTAGATAACTCCACCTACCTTCCTATCAAAACACTAGTTTAATGTAACGACTCACTGCCTCTAAACAACGTAACCTGAATCAATGACAAAACTCATTTCTTACGACACTTCAAACATCCCTAATGACTTTTCTTGACTTTTCACAGTATTTCAAAAAACCATGAATTACTTTTCTCTATTGTTCCAAACTTCATTGTTATTAGTATAAGTTTCAATTATGTTGCGTCATAGATCATTAAGATAGATTTTACTTTTTGTTGATTGTAAGTTTAAGCCCTAGGGTCCTGATGAATTGCCCTACCCTCAACCCCTCATCAGGACGTGACCCCAATATCATTATTGTTTGGTTTAGTAGACCTAATTTAGTCTTAAAAAGGTAATATACAGACAATGGTCAGGAAGTTTTAAGAATGGACTGAAGATGACCACTGAAGTGAAACTATTGCTTGTGCACTCTTGGCCTTTACTTAGTCTGCATTTATATACAACACCTTCACAAAAGATCAGCGTGATTTGCATTCAGAAGTCAGCTTTTTTCCCTCCAAGATGAAAGAGTTGACACATGCACTAGATTAAGTTTTGGAAAGCTTGTAGTCATCAAATGCAGCTTATTTATTTGTTTGGTTGTATCCTTTGATTTTGAAAATAGTTTTGTTGAAAAAGACCAAACATTCAACAAACATGACAACTTAAAATATTCATGAGCTATTTTATTTTATGCGATAATCTACAAATTAATGTTTTTTTACCTTTACTTTGAAAATAGACAAATCTTGACAAACTTTATACTCAATGCCAAGAATTGTGGAGAAATTTGAAAGAAATTGCAAGATTTTAGTCATTTAAGGCAGTAGCACAGAGGGTGTGGGTTGTGGGTTGGTTTGAAATACATAATTGTGAAAAAAGACACTTTGAAAGTTTGTTCATCTTTCAAAAGGGAGACATTTTCCTCATTTGCCTCCAATTTGCTATGTACAGTCTTGTTATATGGACTATGGACATAGTCTTCATAATTTCTACATAGAGCAATTTTGTTCAGACAATTCAGAAGTGTCAACATGGTACTATGGTCTATGACATAACTATCTGATCATATTCGCTGTTTCTATGAATTCATTAGTGTCATGCTCAATAGATTCTCCATCATTTTTAACTTTTTCAATATTTTTGACAACTTCTGGAGACACTTGTGTGAATGGTCTGGTAACTCTATTGACTCTCTACAGTTGTAATGTTTTTTAAATATCCACAATACGCTTGATTTACCTGCTGTGTAATACGGAAATTAAACTAGATTAGACAGTGGATTCCTCTTATGAATTTCAATGATCTCTGAGCTCTTGTGTTTTGTCCAATAGATACACCTTATGTCTACTGGGATCCTTGGCAAATTCATTTTCCACTGCATATCATTGAATAATATTATATGTACGGTATATAAATAGATAAGCTATTTGAAAACGATGCTGATACCAAATTGATCTTACTTCAATTAAACTTGGCATTATTATTAGTAGATCAAATTCAAATATCATTTATTCCAGTTAGTTTTAATGTTTTTGTTAAACCAAGAAACTTTGTGCAAAACAGGAACAGCCATTAGATATAACCTGTGAAACGCATGTGAAACTAAGACTGATTTCAATGTATTATGCTTTTTAAGCTCTTTAACCAATATTTTATTAATTGAGAGTCACTTGTGATTTTGATGATCCATTTCTAATGGATTAGTCTATTATTAGCCCTAGGCTTGTATATTTCTGTAATTTATACCTATTGTCCAAATTAAATATCTTGATAATGATTTGCCAAATCACATTAGTTCAAAAACTCAGTGAATCTACTTCAAGACTTTGCAGATGTTGTCATTGAAAACTAGGCTTAAAAACATGTCATCCGAAAGTATTGTTCAATTTTCTGCTTTATTTACTCATTCAAGTAAGTCACCACTTTGAAATGTTTTTTAAGAAGCAAAAGTCAAATAATTAAAAGGATGTAATAGTCACTGTCTATATTTATATATTTATACAATGAGGTAATTAAGGCTTATTTGGCATGTTTGGTCAGCCATATTTATTTAAGGGGAGATAAGTGATACTTCTGCTCCCTATTTCAACATCTGCCTCCAGTTGTCTCATTATATTTATCAACTTATCTACAATAGGTATTTAGTAATTTTCTGTGTAACATAGATCACCATTGTCAACAGCTTAGTGACATACCTGTTGGCTTCTATTTGATTATGAAATTTCCATGCTTTAGTTGATGTATGTACCCTAACAATCATTTGGGACTGTTAACATTTCAAAATTATAAAGAGAGCTCCTAGAATTTAAATGGAATAATTCTTTCAGATAGTAAGAAAGTAATGTGACCAACAAATGTAACATAGAATCAGGCTTATTAATTCCTATTGAATCCTGTATTTCCCTTCCAATCTTGATTCGATTTATTGGCAATCCAGTATCACTTTCAAAAAAGCTGTCTAATCACCATTTAATCTTTTGCAGGTACCATTTGGACCATGTGCATTTATGCCTGGTAAAATAGTGCACACCAATGAGATATTAGTATTACTAGGAGATAATTGGTTTGTAGAAAGATCTGCCAAACAAGCTGCTGAAATAGCTGGAAGAAGAATTGATAGTAAGTGTAGGCACACCATCTTGTATTCTGTACAGGCGCAGTACATGTAGATTGAGAACAGACAATATCTAAATTGTTAAAAGTATAAGTTGAAGAGCTAGATGTCTTGTAGTTCTACATAGGATGTACCATTCAAGAAAAAGCATCAATCATGAGGTTGAATATTTTATTCCAAGTAAATATTGCCTGGTAACAAAAGGTTTCTGAGTAAATGTTTTGTTCATTTCCTTGCAGGTATTGAAAAATCCATAAAAGACTTAAGTGAACAGAAAAAACTTCTACAACCTAGAGTTGATATTACTTCTGAATTTCAACACTTAGCAGAGGTCAATATAAAGTTTATTACAGTTATGTCTGATTATTACTATGATAGGAAACAGCAATTGTTGCACAAACCCCATCAACTGAGTGAAAAGATTTGTATTATGGATTGCACAAGTAGTAGCAATGATAGAAAAAAGAAATTGGCAATTGGCTCTTTCAAAAAGCAGTGTTACCTGAAGAGGGAATCTCTTGTTTGGTTTAAATAAAGTCAGTTTAAGATTTATTTATGTTTAGGAAAAAGATGGAATAAAAGAAATAGTAGAAGATTATGATTCAGATGAAGATAAGAAATGGAGAGGTAGCTTACAAATTTTCAATTCTTAATTTCAATTCATAATAGACGCTCTGACTATCAAATATCTCATTGCTACCAATCATATCCAGTTTCTTAATGTTGAGAAACTTTTAACTGTTTTATACATATATATATACCTGTATTACACATGATCCAGTCTGCTTGATGCTCTTTCCAATTGTCAATTTTTTTGCTCCTATCATTTTGATTTTGCACCTTGTAGAAAAACACAAGAAAAGTGTCCAAGCTCACAGAAGAAAATTACATGAAGATAGAAAACAAAGTGAATCTAAAAGTGAGCTAAAATCTGAGCTAACAAGAGATGAGTTATGGGAAAGATTAGATGAATTGGAACAAATAGAAAACAGTAGACAAGAATTAAAAAGGTAGGTATAAACAAGCTTTGGAAAGTCTGGCTAAGTTTTATTCAACTCTTGATGACATTTCAAAGAATTAACTGAATTGTTGACATCTCTAATTGCGAAGAACCTTTTGTGATATGAGCATATTTTGTGATTAGTGACCTTTTCATATACTGGTTGCAGGAAACTCAGACTTCTGATTGAAAATTAGAATGGTGCAAATTGATGCTCCCAGTGTCCCCAATACACATACAAAATTTAGAAAACCTCTGTACAATAACTTTAAATAATGTATATGGTTCTTAACCTGCAACTTGTTCAAGATTTTATATTTGTGTTTGTGTTTGATTTATCATCTAGATTGAAGCCCGAACAACCATTTGTCCACTCACAGCCAGATTTTAAAGATGTATTTCCCAGCCAAACAACAAAATCACCTGACCAGTCCATTTCAAAATCATCAAAGAAAGCAGTTGATATTCCTCTACAAGAGACAAACAAGGACAATAAACGTCTTCCCTCTAAACGCATACAGTGGGAAGACGAAGACTCTGAGGACAATACTGATGATAGTTATGATGAAGACAGCTCGGATGATACCAGTACTTCAAATCAAAATGACTCCGAACCCAGGCATGTCAAAAGGATAACCTTCAGTCACAGTTCTCAATCTTTAAATAAACAGGTATTGAAAACTAATCCTTTACTTTTCTTCCAGATTCTTGGAAATTATGTTCCCATGTCAGTCTAACATGAAAAAAGACAACACTTTAAAAACCCCATTTGCTAGAATTGTTACAGATCCTGGTTGTCATGTTGTCATTTGATCTGAATAATATTTCCAGCATTCATAATTCAAATTATAAGAATAGAAACAATCAATTTGATTTAATTGCTATTTTCAGAATTCTAGTTCATCCAATGACATAGAGGAAGAATCTAGAGAAGGGTCTGCTGATAGACCACCTGATATTGCTAGTCCTGCTGATATCTATAAACATTTTGGTCAACTAACACAACCTAAATCAATATTAAAACAATCCTCCTGTAAGAAACAGGCTGTACGTAAAGCTAGAGAAGCTGAAATAGAGGAGAGTAGAAGTAAAAGTTCTGTCAAGAAGATGTCTGATACAGTATGTTAATTCTCTTAATCCACAATATCAAACATATATCACAGTGCTCACTCAAACTACATTAGCAGAATGTTACATAGAACTTAATCAAGACAAGGCTTATGAGCTATCATTCATCATGTCATTTGAGTATGAAACCAAGTGATCTTATCTTACTTATCAAAAGATGTACTGAGCTCATATTATTCTGCTGACATATGTTTTGGATATAAATTCCTCAGCAGGTTTAAAAATGGAGACCCTCTATGTCGGGTCCATACATGTGTACAGGTCTGGGAAAAAAATCTGGTGACATGCTTTGATAAATCTGGAGATTAGTATAAAAAATATGGAGATTTTTTAAAGAGTGTGAATTCATGAATTTTAAGCTCCAAATTGCTTTTTTTTTTTAAATTAACAAATCTGTATAGGCAAGGATGACTGGGTCTAGTCTCATGAAGTTAACATAGTCCTTGAAAATCAGCTTTTTTTATTTTTTACAGGCATTCTCTGGAGCCATATTAGAAAAGCCATCAATATCCTCTACACAATCAATAGTTAGTATGCCAAAACCAGTGAATACATCACAAAGTTCTCAGAGACCTATGTCAAAGTTCCGAGCTGCTAGACAAAAACAAAATGAAAGTTGAAAGAGTACTGTCAGGTGATCAGAATCAATAAAGAATTATAACAGTGATTATTTTTTTATATGCTTCCACATAAGCATGTGATGTATATCTGTCCACAAATTTCATTGGATGAAGCATTTGATGTTGTTGTGAAATGAAGGTTGCAAGAATCGAAACATAAAATTATGGAGTAATTCACATCCAAGTTTTTATAAACCATTGGTCTATCTGAAAATCTGAAAGTGCCTTAGAACTTCCAAATCTTAAACTGTTGATTTTGAAGAAAAAATAAACCATAAAAATTCTTCACTGAGTTTCATATTGAAATGGCCAGTTTTGGAATTCTCTTGAAAACTTGAAAGAGGGAAGCCAATCCTAGGAATTTTTTTGAGAAAATATACCTCCAGAAATGATTGCCTGATTTCAGTGGCTGGAATATACCACTAGAATATGGAGATCTCATCATGGGTAATAGTAACCACTGTTTCCTTTCCTACTATTTGTTTATAATATACCTTACAAAGTAAACATAAACAAAGTCAATGAGGTCAAGTAGCATTATTTTCATATAAAGTTCCATTAAAAAATCTATCAAAATATTTGGTATGGGTGTGATTTGATGTCAATTTGTTTAACATTGATCAAATTACAGAATATATTTTACACTTTATTTGCAAAATCTCTTAAATTTTTGGTTTAAAGAAAAATTCCTATTATAGTTATTCCAGTTCCATAAATACTTTTGAATCCACAGAAACTGTGGATATATCTATATGGTATAGGAATTTATTCAATTTTAATTAATGCTCAAACCAGCTGCTATATACAGCCTCTATAAACGCGAAACCTAAAGCTTGAATAAATCATTTGAATATTAATTTGTAGTCCTGAAATGGTTCTGTCTTTTTTTGAAATGTCCAGCAGAATGAATAAAGTTGTAAAGTAAAAGTACAAGTTGTAACTGTAACTGTTAAATCATCATCTGCTCAGTTGCTCTTAACCAGGCTGCTTTTTCTCAAAATGATCTTAGTGCTAGAATGTCCTAAGATCATAACTTCTAACACAGTTTCTAGGATGTCCTAGGGCCTAGATTAATCTTAAAATCTTTGTTTCAACCTCAGAAATGATTCCTAAAGTTGTTCACAAGTTAATGTAATTAGACTACAGTAAGCTTTTTAAATGGCAGGTTATTAGCTAATAAAAGACATTATTATGGAGACTTTAGGATGTCATTATGTCATTTTAATTACACCAGGAAGTTTTTCACACTTTCATGCATATTTTAACATGGAATAATGACCCCCTTCCTTTTAATCAGATGCTCACAGTTATGTCACCTATCCTGAAAATTTCATCAAATTGGAAACAGAGGTGCTGTGTAAATTGGTTAACAAGAGTTTAATGTTAGGGCTGTATATCACATCTCAGGCTATCTCTTTGAAACTTGAGCTATAGTGTATTACATCATCATATATCATGAGAAGGCAGGGGAGGCTGAATTTGATGAATTTTGCAACACACTTTTATAATTTAGTAGATAAGAATCCATAACTTGAAATGCTTAGTTACCTTTTACTATCTTTTAATATTCAGGGGTATTTACTTTGTCCCTGGACCCATGTTGGGAGTGTCAGACTAGTAGGCATTGTGTATAAGAGATTTATAACATGGTGAATATATGAGCCAATATTGTATTCATTATTACATCTATATATTTAGTATAGGAAGATTTATGCTTTGTTGTTATCTAAGAATTGTGTCATTGAGTCTCAATTTGACATTGACACCTGACAATCATGAAACTGAAAAGTCTGATGATAAACTATCAAGTATGTTTTAGTGAAAAATAGTACCAATGTTACATTTAGTTCAGCCATAGTTTGACATTAGGTGTTTTAGAAAAATGTGCATACCTTGGTAGCAAATAGCAACAGAGTGAACATATCTCTCTCGGAGCTATATTCATCAAAGAATTTGTTGTTAATGGTTCAAAATTAAAAGTATTTTTATGACTTGTGCAATTGAAGCACATTTCTTTCAAAAATACTGTAAGTTTGAAGTATGATCAAAGATTGAAGATGAGGACTTCTCCTCAGCAGTTAGTTTTGACTTGAGTCAACAGAAAAAAAAGATTCTGGAAATTGTAGATGGTTAGATTTTGCACCAATTATAGTTAAAGTTACATTTAAATCAATGGAGTATGGGGTGGGGTTTACAATTTCATAGCTAGGGTACTGTGGAGGGAAAGAAGAAAGGGTCCCTTCAAAGGGGCTTACATAACAAACATGTCCCCTAAGGTCACATAATTGACAGGTAGTTGGGACCAATGAAATGTGAGACATAATTGATTACTGATGAATTTCAATCAAACCCAAAATGGCGGACAACTATTCACCTGCTTTCATTTTGTTTTGTGAAATGTTACATTCTCATTGGTGAAATAAATGAATATGAAAATTTCACCAATTCTGCCCTCCAATGTTCTGATAAAGTGCCTATAACATCTCAAATTTGTTCACAATTCTTATAGTTTGAATTTATGTAGATGGTGATGCTAAAAGAAAGGAATGTCACTATGCCAGCTAAAAATACCATGGCATTTTAAAAGTTTTAGGCCCATCAATGCAATATTTCATCCATCGAACACTATTAGGCATTGCCAGTTATCCATTATTCTAATATATCAGAGTAAGAAAAGAGTCTGTTGTAAAACATATTATTGCTATAGTCAGCTTCAGTATTTAATGCATTCTGACTCAGGGTGGTTTATTTATATTGTGGAAGCTTATGCAGTGGCGGCGCCAGCCTTCCGAGACTGAGAAATTGGGTGGCTGAATTCAAATTTTGTCTACCCTGTGGTGGTGTCATAGTCACACGTTTCTCATAGCGTGTCTTAGGGGGTTCTCTCAAGAAAAACCACTTTTTTGCACCCCTTGTGCCCCAACCCGCGCCACCATTGAGCTTTTGCAGCAAGAAATATATATGATGACACTAAGACGTGAACTGTGTTTCCACTGAGCAAATTGCCGAAAACTAAAAACCTCTATTTTCTTAGTAGGACAATTTATTGGGGGCTTAAAGCTAGCTTTTACTTAACCAGTGGAAACACAAAAAGCCATTAAACATAGTTGTAAATAATGTGCGACTTTGTGATCAAGGCTAAACTCACTGTAAAATGCAAAGCTTAGAGCTAAGAGCTTAGAGCTAGCTTTACTTTACAATACTTAGTGGAAACACTGTTGTGGTGAAGACATTTGAAGATGTAGAGATTAAGTCTGGTGCTAAATGTCTACAATGTGAGTTATGTCTTCAGTTATGGTGTGTCTGATGATGTGAGCAGAAGATATATTCTCACTTCACATGTCATGCCTATAATCTGGTTATGTCAACTCTATTTAGAATTAACACTTAGAACTACCAAATTTCAGCACAGCATTACAGTTTCTGAAAAATATCCACAGTTTTAAATTAAAACTTTTAACAGAATGTTTTTGTATGTGAAATCATTCAAAATTGTTACTGAAAAGGATTTCCATCAGCTTGTGTTAACTGCAATAATACAGACTTATCCATGTACAATGAAACCCAGGGGAAATATCACCTTTGATTGTAAACTGAAATAATACTGCAATGTGGACACTATAAAATGCTTTATTTTACTATGTTGTAAATTTGGCTATAATAATATGTTATATGGTAGATATATAGTCCCTAAACACTAGTGAACAGCACCTATAGGGAATATACCCCTATCTTTACCTTACTTTTACTTGTGTTATGGTTTACTAGTAAGCAATTAAAAACTTTCATTAGTACAACATTAGCCACCTTTGATGTCATAGTGTTCAATAGACATTTATCTTCTTAATTCCTTTACAAAATAATTAAAATCTGATAAGATCTTTACCTCAGACTGTGCTGGGAATTCTTAAAAGATTTGGTTAGATGGATTAAATTCTGGCATATTTTTGAAAGCCACTGCACACAAGATGCATTGCAAATTCAAAATGTTGACATGTTATTGCTAATCATGACTGTTTCACAATTTGCGATTAGGTGTATGGATTCGGTTTAATGCTACAAAGTGCTGTTCTCTTTGCATGGTCAAATGAATTGACAAATTAGATGCTGCGAAACAATATTCTAATGTTTAGTCTTGTAAGCATCTCAAAATCATGTTGTCAACTTAACAATATTTCACTTCTTGAATAGACAATTTTATAATCCATTTCAAATAGCCCTACTTTGGCAACGGTGATGCACTATATAAATAATTTATATAAATTGAAACCTAAGTCTATGACAAGTTTAAGCAGAGGAAACTTGTTTGACCAGTAAAATGTGAGATTTATATCCAAAATCCCTCTTTAAAGTCAGACACCTATCATTCTGTAGAATTAATCAGAGATGTGAATAGTGTAAAGTGTTATCAAACTGATTTAATATTATGTAACTAAGTAGATTTTCAATCTTTCTTGTCTTGCCATTAACTTATAGTTTTGAAGGGTGAAGATTTCAACATAGATGTCTACCTTGACTTTACAACCTGTAAGAAACAAAGACTCTATGACCATTGTCTTCCTAAATCTTGGCACCTACAAACCCTTATTAAAATTTCCACAGTACATTGTTGGGTGTAGACATCATTATCTATATTTTTAAAACCCTTTCTTTAGTTTAAGAGTTTTTTTGTGGTTTAGTTGTTGTGGATGTGATGTAACAGGGGTTTATGTTAATTAGTTTCAAATACAGCTTATATCATTTCTTGTCCCATCATTTTAAGGGTTTCTTTGTCCATCAAAAACTGATCCCAGATGAATTGCCTATCTCCTTCCGCTGTAACCTTTTCAATTTTAAACAACCTAATTCAACAGTATGCAAATCTATGTTTTTCTTCACTTCCACCATGTATAATAAAAGAATACTCTTGAGGACTAATTTGTTTTTCTCACATTTTTCATGTTAATTTTGGACAAAGGTCACCTTTGAACTGTGAATAATTTGTCAATGATCAGTTCTTGTTAATGCTTTATTGAGAGCTACTGCACAAATTCTTTCTTATGATTTTTCTTCTCATTAGCTGTAAATGAAATTTTATTATTTGAGAGTCATCCCAAAAGTCTAGGTGCTTGTTATTATATGAGTTAGTGTCAACTCTTACAACTCTTAGTGTACAACAGATTTGCAACGTTATTTATATTCTGTTTAAAGATTTTTCCAAGAAAACCAAATAGGAATAGGGGAGATATTTCTTGACAAATTTTATTATCTTACCTTGCCATTTTAAGCTTAAGAGAATTTTCACA